CTCCGGCTGTGCTATGGGAGCATGGGATGTCAAAGCTACATTCTGCATATTTCAGCATGCTGCTTATGCACACGTGCGGAGACGATTCGCAGCAAAGCTCAGGGTAGCCGGTCGCCGGTCGCCGCATCGTTTATGCCGAGGCTGTGGCCTTTCCGTTGGCAGCACCCGTTCATCTGTGCACCGCTGCCACCGGAAGCACTCCAAGAGCTGCCACTTCTGGCCGGGCAGCAGGGAGTGTTGTAAGCGGAATATGGGGTTGTGTTAAGGCTACTGCAGGCACCAGCAGTAGGCCACAGCGATCGTTTGTGGATTGCTTTCACTGCAGGAAGCCACGATGCCACTAATCATGGCCTTTGGAGAGATGCCAATGCTCAGCCACTTCTGGGGCAGTGACCTTACAACCTTACATGTGTAGGCAAGCCAGCACAGAAACCATGCTTGAGGCTACGACACTGTGTATCGGCTGCCGCCAAGTATTGTTGCCGGCGTGTTGCGCAATGAATGGGCTTCCAACTGAGACCTTATGCACGCCATCACGATGCCATGCATCGCCTTCAGACTTCCCTTTGCCATCGTCTGCCAAGGTTTATATCAGTGACAAGCTGGAGACCATTGGTGGGTTGCCAGGACGCGGGCAATGCACAGAACGGCCATGCTCTCTCAGGCTGTTGAGCACCTGGCCAGGCAACAAGATCAAGCTTCCGGAATTTGTGCAGACACCGTTGAGGAATGAGATCAAGGAGGCCAGTCGACCCGACGGTGCTCTGCAGAAGGGCCACTAAGGAGGTGAGTGGTCTGAGGCTCACTGAGATGTTCTACTTGTCGACGCTCGACCAACAGCTCCTCTCAAACCCTGCTTCAGACACGGAGTTCAACCTTAAGCATTGATTGCCACCCCAAATCGGTCGCATTGTGGGTGTCGAGCTTGGGAAGGGGATACTGGACCCGATCCTGACTTTCGGGGGAAATGAGGAAGTGAAGCAGCGGGCCCCCATTCACGGGAACATCTGACGTCCGCCATAAGGTGTTTGCGTTCGGCAGGCCAGACGCAGCTTCCGACAGTCCACATCAAAGCTCCAGACGCTGCAGGACATCGTTCCGAAGGCCCCGCGCAATCCTGTGGCGCGGTTAGACTAGCCAAGTAGAGCATTGAGGAAATGCTTGTGATGTCCTTTTGGTTTAGAGTCTGGGGATGGCCGAAAAGGCGGCAGGAAAATCACCCAACACCCATTTGCAGAAACCAAGCCGCAACAAGAATGCGGACAATGGGTGAGGTTGCGCTGCCCAGTGTTTGGATCTATGCGCGGGGGTGTTTGATGTGTGCGGATTGGGTGTGACCCGTTTCCTCATTTTTTCTGGGTCCGCACGAACTAAACGGCTAAACAATCGTGCACTGTGAGGGCAATTAAATTTGGTTTCGTATGTCGTATGTGGCATCCCTTCTCTACTTTTGTCTTCGCTGTGCCGGCAGTGAGATGCATGTGTCTTCCTCGACTTCGTCCTGAGTGATGCGTACAGTGTTGGCTAGGCGGGTGCCAAAAAACACGAATCGCTCGTGTCGAGGCTTTCGTTTCTCTCTGCCTCCGTCTACGCTAGTCAATTTTACTCGTAGATTTTTTCTTGAAAAAGCCGCTTGGGTTCTTACATTGGAGCCGCCTCACCAGCTCCGTTTCCCTTGACTACACGCAGAGATTTCGTTCCCCTGGCCCCTCCGCTCAAATTATCCCTTGTGCTGGAACGAGACACTTCCGATGGGAGCGAAGTCGACGCAGTCATATGTATCATCGTGCCGAAGCACACCGCAGCAGCACTTGTTGGAATGCCGAGCCTGGACGAAAGCGGAAAGTCGCAGCCCTTAACTCATTTCGATTAAAAATGGGTTCTTGAGGAGGTCCGTCGGATGCTCACCGATTTACCTTGGGACGGCCAGTTGACTCACGGCCCGTTTTCATTTCTCCGTGCGTGCCTTCTGTCCCAGGGTTCGCTTCAGCAGACTTGGGCAGAGATTACATGTTCAAGCGCAATGTACTTTTCTGCGAAGTTGGGCATGCATTTTCCCGCAGAGGTTCACGAGGCAGTGGAAACAGCCATGCAAACACTGGCTGACCTGGTGAAAAGCTATGCAAGGAGAGCCTTGGCTGGAAGACTTGTTGTGCCAGTTGGCACGGAATCGAGGCACCTTTGTTTTCCGATAAACAGTGCGAAGGTGTGCTTTTGGGGGCGTGAAGCTGCATTCGGCTGCATGCCGAAGCATCCATCTGCTTTCGAGTCAAGGCCAAGTCGACGAAGTGCTCCGGAAGGAGGCACCAAGAGAAGCTGTGAGTCGAAGCCTTTCACAACCAACATCGGCTTTGTGGTTGCTCTTGGAAGAGGTGTCCCCTTGTTCCTCTTCTCCAGCAGACCTCTGCGAGAAATGCTACCAACGTGCGCTGAAGGTGGACAGGCCATGGAATTGGGGAAGCGAAGGGCAAATGCACAGGTGCTTGAGCGTCGTGTGCGCAGATCTGGTCCAGCACAGGTTTGTGGAATGGCTCTGGGCCCACGAAGAGGCGTACGGATGCCCAGAGCCCGTCAGGCTCTCAGAATCTCAGTGACTTTCTCCCGAAAATTCCAAGCGTCGACGCAGGGTGTTGCGCCGACGGAGTTTGAGCCGTTGCACAGCCGTGTAGGTAGATCGAAGAAGCCCACCAGCATGGTTGTTTCTGTGCTGTTTGTGCTGCCTTTTTACAGTATGCAAAGATACCATTAATGCCGTTTTCGAGCGTCGATGCTATCATGTATCCACAATGTCCAGCAGAAGCACGTGCAGAGCATGCACGTTCACCACACGTCGGCATGCCCACAGAAAGCAGTGCCGAGCTCTAGATTGGGGCAAGCATCGCACTGGTTGCAGGTGGGGTTCTACAAGACGTTCTTGCAGACGCAGTGCTTTATGAGCTTGCTGTTCGAGGACGCAGCTAGATGATCCGCTCCTGCAAATCTTTGGCTTTCGACGTCACGAAAGTGCGTGTCCGTTGCGTAGAGTCCGCTTTAACAATTCAAGCACAGTCGATTCAAGCGCGAAACCTGATTCAAGCACTGCCGGTTCAAGTCGATTTTGCACCCGCCACACCAAGTAATCTCTCCACTTATTTTAAAGGGTTGGTATTTCAGGGTTTGCAGCAATATGTCCAGATGCTAAGACAGGCTGCTTAGGGGGTTTGAGGGTTGAGAGTTTTTAGAATTTATGCAGGCTTTAGGGGTTAGGGGTTTGCACATGCGGTAGGGTTTCCGGGGTTAAGGGCATCTAGGCTGTGGAGGCTTGAGGGTTTTGCCGGGCATCACTGAGTCCCAGCTGCAAAAAGGGTTCGTAGGGTGGGCTTCGCACCCTCTGCTCCCCTCTCACGGCCATCTCTCGATCTTTAAAGATTCGGGTTTTCAGGGCTGAGGGTGGATACTGTATGGCTTCGGCTTTGAGGCTTGGGGTTCTTAGGGTCTAGGGTTTAGGGTTTAGGGGTTTTGCACAAGGGGTATCATCGCTTAGAATTTTCACGATGTTCAGGGTTTTCAGGGTTGTTGGGTTTTTTGAGGTTTTTACGGCTTAGGGTCTCTTTCGTTTAAAAAATTTTCTAGGAGTTGCCTCCTGTGCTACGGCTCAAGGACTCAAGTCCCCTGTTCAAGGGCTCCGGCAAAAGTATTTTGGGAAGACAGGCTCGTGGAAAGTTCGCCTAGTTCGCCTAGGGAGGTCGACCGTTGGCTTCCGCGCACCGCAGTTTCGTGCACTCCGCCCAGCAGATTCGCTCACATGTAGATTGACGCGGATTCGCGCCCGCCTGAATCGCATGCTCCTCCCGCGGGATTCGCACACACCGCCTAACGGAACATAAAAGGCCGAGACCTGGAAATCCCGAAAGCCCTCTGCCCGTGAATCCGCGCCAGTGCGTGAATCCGGTCTTCCAGAGCGCGAATCGGTTTCCTGCCACGTGCATGGGCCGATTAATGTTTCGGACGCTCTCGGCCCTTGCGGAGGAAATCTCAAGAGAAGTTGGCAGACAGGAAGGACCAGGCCGCCCCTTTCTGGGAACATCGTGAGGCTGCACTGGGCTACACTGGGCTGCACTGATCCGCTCCCTTGCGCTTGCTGTGAGGTTGAAACCCAGCGAAACCATGAGCGGCAGGAGCGACAACGGTCAACCCATTACGCAGGCATTGAAGTTGCCGCGCCTTTTTGCTGTGCATCCCTTCGGCCTTCTTCAAAAGAAGAGGCCGCAGCGTTCTAGACGGGGGTTGTGACTGAGTTGCCAAGGCGTACATGCCAATGCCTTGTATACTTATACGGCTTTACAGCTTCAGGTTGCAGGGTTCCCTGTGTCAGACGCGGGAGCCGGTATTATCATAGCGCTCGTTCCCCCAAACTTGGATAACCGTACGCAGCTGCGGAATAATGTACGTGCACTCATGCCTGCATCACCTGGTCGCAAAGCTCCTGATCCGGAGTACCCCTGCCTAGAATTTATGTTCGAATTCGTTGTGATGGTCTGGGGTTGGTGTCAGCACCAGCTGCTTTTTGGTGATCCCTCACATGAGGGCAGCCCACAGCAGCCATGACCACCACTTTGTCTTCGTGCACATGAGAGGGATCCAGAATGATCCAGCTAATTCGCTCTGAAAGCTGCGGCGTGGAGATGCATCGGCCAGAGGCTGCAACAAGCGTGTAACAGGGCTGTAACAGGTCTGTAGCAGGGCTCCAACAAGGCTGTTAAGACGTCGGCTTGTCTTGACAACGCTGCGGCCCAGATGCCGCTCCCCGCTTTCATGCTTCTGTTGCTTCGCCCTGCAGGCTGCCATAGCCTGCAGGGCTGCATAGTAGCCATCAGCAGTGAAAGGTGCGCAAGCAGGGCATGCTTGTTCAATACTTGACATGTCCATGTGCTGTCCACAGGCAGGCTTGATTCCCGAAAGCCTTCCTTGTGCAGAGCGTCGGGTCATGCTGTGAGTTATTTTGGCAGCCTGTGCCGGCCATGGTGGCATCGAGTGGCAAACGGTCAGCTCAGAAAGGCCCACCAACCCTCGAACTTCCTTGAACTTCCTTGAACTTCCCTTGGACCTTCCTTGACCTTCCTTGAACTGTTCAGAGCTGCAGGCAGCCTGGAACTTTTCATTCGCTCCCCTCCATGGCTCCACGATGCAGGACGCGCGCTTCCTGCGATGAAGACGATGAAGAGACCGGCGCGTGCTGCAGCTTTGCCTTTGCGCAAAAAGGCCGGCTTCTGCCCCGTGCTTCGTCGTAGAATAGCGCAGAAAGTTGTAGATGCGCACGAGCCAAAGTCCTGGGAAAGGTGACCTTTGTTTGTGCTGCTGGGGCAGGTGGAGGGCGCTCACGACAGATGCACGCACAATTAAGAGGGTGCTTCTTTCGTGGATGTCTTGTTCTCGTGGCACGTAGGTCTTGGACATGTATGGATCTAAATGGATGTGTCGTGCCAACAACAGTAAGCGTTTTTCTTGACAAATTGCCTGCTTCGGCAGCATTGCCGAGGATGCTTCTCCGACAGTTCGGCTGCTTAGCAAAAGCAGACAGTCCAGTCACCTGGCATCGGTGCCAACGGCAAACCATTGTTTCACAAAGGAGAAGTCCATGAGATGTCGTTTCGCGGCACGCCCAATCTGACCACTGCAGCCGAGCAGCATTAGCCGTCCACTACTTGCAGAAATACATATGCTTCAGCTGCATTTAGCTGCTGTAGTTGGTCAGACGAAGAGCCTTCAAGGGATTGCTCTGGTGTGGTTCGGAGGTACAAGCTAATTTGGGAACAGGGGCAGTTGTACGTAGCCATCTCCAGACTGGAGATTCATCTGTTAAGTGCTTGTCCAAACTTACCAACGGTTGAGGGCTGTGCGTGCTCGAATCTTTCACTGACTTCAAGGCGTGTGGTCGCAGTAGCCCACAGAGCCCAGGCAGAAAGGGAGACTCCCTTCCTGCAGCAGATCGTAGCGGCTGCCCAAGCGGCGGCGAAGAAGTCGCCATCCAGGTTTTGCGACAAGTCTGAAGGGTATAGGCCATGCTGTGCTGTCTTTCCGTACCCTTGTAGTCATGTGAACAGGCCGCTTTTTCTCGTTGGCCACTCCTTCGGGGCGCGGGCTGCCGTTCACCTGATGTGCCGCAAGGCTCGGGATCGCTTCGCTTGGCAGCAGCGTGTTAGTGTTTCAATGTGTTTCTGATTGAGGCAAAGGTAGATTTTGTAGATTCTTTGTGAATCTCCAAAGCCAAAAGCACTACACTCAAAGTCGAATGTCGGAACACGCTGCACTCTTCACAATCTCAACAATACTGAAGCGCAGAGTTGCACTCGCTGCAGGATGGATAGGCTGTTGATTGGCTATGGTTTTGGGCTTGGGCACCGACTCAAAAGCCAAGCATCCCACTCCAAGCACATGCTTTGCAACTACAAGTGCAGTACTCGCAGGATGCGACGGGCGTGAGCAAAGTTCTCATGCCGCACGATCCGAATGTGATACCGAAGCCCCAACAAGGTTAGGACGGTTGAGTTTCAGAGCTGAAGGATGAGTTGAAGGTCGGGGCTGAAGGAGAGAGGAGTGTAGGTTTACACGGCGGTATGGAGATTCCTGAGTTGCTTGTTTTTGTAGCGTCTACATGGTGATTACTGTAGCTGTTGGAACATCTTCAAAGATACCATTAAAACGTGCTGAAAATGCTGGCGTCCGCAGCAACTCCGGCAGTTTGACCGATGTTGGCTGTTTGCCTAAAATCCAGCGTCAACTTGGGGATTGCTGTGCCCTGATGTGTATTTCCACCGCTGGTGTGTATTCACGCTATGTAGCATCCACAATGGGGTGCTGTGTATTCCTTGCGATCTGATGTGATTCAAGCCCGCCGCTTGTAGAATGATTTGGTTGCATGTGCTGCTCCCAGCTCCACCAGCGGCCAACTGTTGTGTATGTGCAGAAGGGACCCTCGTGCTGGAGTGGTAGAAGCTTCCTGTTGCTCCTTGAGATGCGAAAAAACTCATAGCCACTCAGATATCCCGAAGCCTGAAGCTGGAACCCAGCGGCTTCAGACAAAATTCAGTTGCAATCAATGATGTTTTCACCCTGCAGCTTAGAAAGATTTCTCGGGCGTAGTATCGTGTAGTAGGTCTTTCGGCTTTGGCAGCGTAGTAGGCTTGACGGGCACGTTTCTACTTCTACATGCAGGAAGGCTCGAAGCTCCAGGCCCAAGGTACTCCTAGACCTTCAGCCTCAGATCATTTCTGGGGATTTCTGGGGTACGTATCTCGGCATCGAATCCAGTGGAGTTTTGCCCAGTCTTACTCGGCATTGCCCCCTTCTGGTCGGGGGCAGTGCCTTGAGTTGCAGGCATTGCCCCGTATGCCAAGGGGATACTGTTGGAGTTTGTGCAGCCAAAAGGGGATTAGCTGAACTTGCTTTTTCCCTTAGTCTTGCTGCCGGTGCGTGTGTGCGTGTTTGGTACGACCACCCCGCACCCCAAGCCCTGTCTCCGAGCCAATGCCCCCAGCTTAGTACCTTTGTGAGGGATCGCAAGGGGAAGAGTTTCTGTTCCTGTGAAGTGGGCTGTCTTGCCTAAGTGCCCAAATCCAACCCAAGCCGCCCGGCTTGGGGGGGCGGGCCCATGGAGGTTCGGGTGGCGTTTTTCCCAGCTCGGATTGAGGGGCTCGGAGCGTCGAACTCTTGCCGGACCTCCCCAATGACGCAAGCGGAGGGGGGAAGAGATGGCGGGAGGGAACGTTTCCGTTGGCCGGAGTGCACCCCAGGCCGTCCACTCACTCACTCACTTACTCGGCATTGAGATGTGCGGTCGTGTGATGTCGCTTATTTTTTTTGCCTCTGGCTTTTTCTGCGCTGAGGGGAGCATCGAGCGAGCTTGATAATCAGCAGAATTAGCAATGTTAGCATTATACAGGCATGTTGGCTTCGCAAGGTTCTATCTTCGCCAATGAGTTTACAAAAGAGGGGTGGGGGGGGGCTGCGCCACCCCCTTGCATCTTTGTCATCCAATTTGCCATCCCCCCCGTTCCTCCAACCCGCCCATGTAGTTGATTGCGCATCTTCTGCAATTAGTTTACAAATTTGTGGGGGGGGGGGGGGGGTGCCGCCTCCCCTCCCTCCCCAAACCCTCTTGCGAGTTCTCGAAGACATCGCGTTTGCCTCGTCATGGCAGTTTAGTCAGGGCTTCGCGAACATCCAGAGTCCTGAAATTACGAGAAAAAACACTACGAAAACATCGCGAGATGCAGGGAAATGCTGCAGCAAATAGCATTTGCAGCATCATATCGGAGAGCTCCATTTTTGAGAGCTTAACAAGACTCAGACAGTAGACAAGACTGGACTGGGAAATGGCCACGCGAACGCAGCACGCCCGGTGAATGCATTGAGCCGGCATCAGGGCTGACAACATCATACAGAAAACCAGCACTGGTGAAAGGAAGTTTCTGAGCAACACTGCGCACCTTGCACAAGAATGCAACAGCAGCGCAGCAAAGCAAGCACTTGCGCAGCATCCTCAGCAGGCAAAAAGCACGCACCCCCAGCACCTGCAGCAAAAGACGGCAGAGCCAAAAGACCTGTGCCGAACAAGCTCTCATCGCAGAATCGGCGCATCCGATACGGCAGCTGCTTCCTGCGAGGACCTTCGCCGGCAGCTTCCGAGAAGCTGTCAGGGCATCATCGCGTCGCTTGGACGCAGAAGGAACGGGTGACGCCCTGATCGCAATTTACACGGGCACTTGATGCAGAACGTAGAAGCGCAGAGGCGGTGGCTATGGTGGCCTCGCCTCAAATTGTGAACTGCCGATGTTGAAAACATGTTTCGGACAAGTGTCCAGGTTTGGATATCCGTTGATTCACCCGACACAGAAGCGCTGCCGGGACGCAATTTTAGCATTGCAGCTGAGTCATTGGCTCTCACTGCTGATGCCTGTGCTTGCCTTCTGAATTGAAGGGAGTGTGGCACAGAAGCAAAGGTGAGAATAAGCTGATGGATTTGCCTGTGAGCACAAAGGTGCCAGAATTCCAGCTATGATGTGCTGCGAAAGCTTGATCTGTAGTGTCTACTGTAGCATGTCCAGCGTGTCTCAGCTATCATCTGCATGCAGGCACTTTTCATATCCGGCACGAAAGATCCTTTTTCCGGCGACTTCAAGCTTTTTGAGAAGACGCTGAAGAAGCTCCGATGCAAGACTCGCCTGGCGTCTCAGCTGCTTTCATGGGACAAGCACGGTGCCGTTGATCCCTTCTCAAGTGTCAAAACTCCTTGACCCGCAGCATTTCATCAGGCTTGATCAGTTTGATGCTGGGCCGTATTGTGGCCCCAGAAACAAAGGCAGAGCATCCTCTTCTATTCATACGAATGTGGCACGTAGTAGGGTGTAGAGTTACATTCCAGGCTTTGGGCCGCTGTGGGGCGGTACGTGCTTTGCAAAGATAAGGTGAAAGTGCTTGGAGGCGATCATGGTCTGAAGTGTGCACGAGCACTCGAGGAAGGTGCGGTGTCTACAATTAACGATGCCGTCTCCCACTTTGTTTAGGGATGGGTCTGGGCAGAATCGGCGGAACCACCTGGCGCGAGTTGCGCTGGATCGCGGCCTCTTGGATAGCTGAAGTCCAAGAAACGGCGCCGCTGCGGAGACCGGGGGCTGGAGCTCAGCACTGCCAGGACTACCACAGGAATACCAGGATGGTCTGCATATGTCTACTCCTGGGGGATCTCCTGGGGTGCGAGGGCCTTGGAGCTTGGCATCGGATCGGTCCTGGACAGCTCAATGGAGTTGGCGGACGGGCAACGCTGCGGCAACCGCTCTCGGGTAAAATGCGGAGTGCAGCGTGCCATGGTTCTTGACTATCGGTGCGTGTCACAGGCGAGAGAGGGAGTAAGGTGCTGGTGAATTCGTGCAATACCTGATGAATCGGGCCCTTTCCCGGATGCAGGCGGTGCATGTGCAGTAGAACCAGTAGTAGAACTGGGAAAAAATTGCTGGTTACCGCTGATCAAAATGAGCCATAGATCGTTTGCAATGTTATCCTGAACTTGACAGCCATGAACAACTAGCCCAGAAGCAACCGTTTTGGGGCTTCGCCACGGGCCACCAGCCACAACTGCCACAACATTCAGAGCCTGACGCCGACCAACACAGTTTTCGAGCACCCGTGGACCGTGGACAGTAGAGCCATGGCCTTTCGGCTTCAACAGCAAACATTTCGTTTCTTTTGTTTCTTTTTCTTCTTGAGTTGGGCACCAAGTGACTTACCGCGAACTGCCTTCGGGCTCAGGACGAAGAAGCTGGTTTTGGCAGCATTCGTGGCGCTGCAAGAGGTGTTTACGTTGAGAGGCCCAGCAAACCTGGCAAGGCCGGAGGGCCATGCTGTGATGTCTAAGGGCGGGGAGGCAGAAAAGTAGGTCCTCAGCAAAGGGTGTGCAGCTTGAGAGTCAGGCTTGTTTGTAGATGTGACAAATGCTGCCAAGGTTTTCAAACTTCGAGATGTCCGTACCAGCAAGGACTGGCCAAGAGCCAGCAAGGACATGCGCTATGGCAGCCATGACTATCCACGCCACGGCAGCCACGACCACCCACGCTACAGCGGCTATGATTACCCCCGCTACGGCAGCCACGAAATTCCACGAACAGCTCCAGATGGTCGACGCTCACGCAACTTGCCCAGATTGCGGATAAAGTGACAGAGTGAGTTGGACGACTCGACAGGCAGACCAGCGGGCCATTGTGGCCGGGAGTGTTTGCGGGGCTTCTCTTCGCTGTGCAGAAGAAGAAGAAGAGTCAGAGAGAAGGGGGACGGGTGTCGACAGAAGACCAAAGAGAAAAAAACGGAAGAAGAAAACACACAAGTACTGCCGCAGCATCACCCAAAAGTATGCGCCTCAGGTGACCCGTCGCCGCTTCCAACCCCGGGCACGTCCCCGTACCGGTCAACCCTGGACGCGCCAACAGATTCGCGTCACACCCCCAGCTACGGATAACTTAACCGAATTCAATACAGCATGCCTCTAGCCTCTTTTGCAGAGAAGGTCCTTTATAAGTCATAAATCATAAACAAGAAGGCGAGTGGTGCAAGATTGCGGAAATCAGGTGATCACTCGAGATCGGGATCACCACTGCGAAGGACAGCGGATGGCAGGTTTGGGGACGAGCCGAGAGGCCTTCTGCAAGCCGAGGTAGCACTTACAGAAGCCATGTCTGCAAATAGCTGCGAGAAGCAATTTGCACATGAAAGCGGACGAAACGGGCAGGTCGCCGGCGAGCACACGTGGAAGTCAGCGTTGACGAAGACGAGCTGCTTCCACGCGGCATGGATGCAAGTCCATGGCTGAAACCTCCCGAAGCCTATAGCATGAAAGTCCAGTGCATGTCGCAGGTCACAGCGAATCTAGGCAGTCTTCTCATGACAGCCTCCGCATCTTGGCTCGGAAGCATTTGCTCGTTGTGCCGGTGCAGGGTCACCGCATGTTTGCGACCCATGTTATATGTGCTTGGCAGACGAAGGCCCCCATTCTTCATTTGATTCCCCCATATTCCCCCTGCGCTGTGATGGTGCCTTAATGTGCCTTCAACCAAGGCTGGAGTGTAAACGTCGATCCGAAGCAGACCCAGATAGAAGACCGGCGTGCCGCGGCAGTGAAGCTGTGAGGTGCTGACTTTGAAGTTAAAGCGTTAGTCTTGAGCTTATCTGCGATGAGACCTGCGCAGATTTCTTACCTGCCCATCATTGCGCACATCTCTGCGGCACAAATATACTGAACAAAGCGGCTTCTGCATCCGTAAGATGTATGTGTCGTGAATGAGTCGTTGTGCACATGCAGCCAAGCAAGTGCACACATTCCTATTGCGCGATCCTTGTACTGTAGATAACCTTAGCACAAATATGCAGCGATCCCGGCAGTATTCCATGTCTTTGTGCATCGCGGTCCCGAAAAACTGGAACAGTCGCATGTGGCAACAAGATATAACAAGATGCATGTTTGTATGCACGTGCTTTCTGCATCTGTTTTTTTTTTTTTTTTTTTTTTTTTTCTGAATCCCTCGTGAGCCGACTTTATGGTCGTGGCGTGGCCTAGCAAACCATGACACTAGCATGCGGCGACGCAGGATGACAACACATGCGCAGATTCTCACGCTGCATCACTCGGGAGCATCCGCCCGCTTAGTCATCGTTCCTTCATTGCTTCGCACTGCCTGCACGTCGCATGAACACCAGTATGCGGTGATGCATGGCGCTGTTCCAGGCCTCCCTGCACTGCATTCCCTGCTGGAACAGCACTGCATGTTGGCACGCGTGCGCTCTGCATCTGCATCTCCAACTTTTGCTGTTCACGCCCACACAGGGTTTGCAAAACTTCATTCTCATCATGCCTAGTAGAATCGTACGAAGAAACATGATGAAGCAGCGGCGGCTGCTGCTTGATTGGCTGCGAATGTTCTGATTCCGGGGCGTCCTGCCCAGCGCGCAGACTTCCCCACACTGTTGGTTGTCCTCGGTGCCCTCCCGACTTGACTACGCTGCACGGGCGCGTCCTGAAAACTTGTGTGGCAAAGTGCTTTAGTCACCCTGCTTGTGCTCAAAAGATGACAGCGCCTGGCATAGCTGCTGTTGGGGAATAGAGTGCCTTAATCTCGTGCGGTTCCAACATGAGTTCGTGTGTTTCTCTTGCCCCTTCGCTGTCTCGACGCAGATCCGCAAAGAATCTCAACTGGATCACTCGCGGATCGCTTGTCTTCTCATGTCTTCCCACCCTTTTTTTCTCTAAGAGTGGTTGTGCCCTCAAGAGAGATGTCTTCCATCAATCAGGCAAGGGAAGACGGCCAAGTGCGGAAGTGCAGGGCATCTTGGATCGTCTTTTTGGAAGTTGTGTGTGCAATATGCCTAACGGTCTTTTTGCCCAATTCCGAAATCGAAAGCTACTTTGTGTTCCGTGGTTTGCCACGGAACACGTCAAGAGTACCGTGCACAAGAGACGAAGGCGATTCCAACATCGTATTTAAGTTTCGTCTGTTTTGGTTGCGTGGGTCAGCACTTTGTAAGGTGGTTCCTCGATCGAGCTGAAAAGGCAGCCGCCTGTAGGACCACCTTCCGATGACGACTTCCGTGGCCCCTTAGGCTGATATTGCTCGGATGCCTTTTGGGTTTGTGTCATGTTGTGTCATGTTGACTGATGAGTCACGACATAGCACGGCTGATTGTCGGGCAAAGGTTGGCTGACCAGCGTCTTGGAATCAGAGCGGGAGGTCGTGCACGAGGCAGGGGGGAACATGTGGACATGTCCATGTCGTGTATCAAGCAGCTGCAGTCCTTGCTGTATACACCCAGGTAGAGGAGAGCCTTACGATGCCGCACAGCATACTACTGCATCATGTCGCTCAGCCGTGATTGTATTGCAGGTCATGAAAGGACGGCACATGGAGATCCTTAGCCAGGTCAACATCAAGCTCGACTCTTGGCAAATCTTTGAGGGCAAGTTCGTCGAGAGCATGCAGCTCCCACATGGTATGCTGACTGTATGCATGCTATGGTGATGCTTCATTGCAGGAGAGCATGGGAAAGCCGCCCGCGCCAAGTGACAAGCCAGCGCCCTTGCGCGTCACAGCCCTGCCACAAGCAGGGAACAAGTCGTGCTGCTCGCTGGCATTGGTACATTCATGTGCCAATTGGCAAATGCACTTGCAAGGCAAGCATACGGAGTCTGTGGGGGCTGTGGGGCCGGTTTGGTGTCCGAGGCCTGGAGCCGCCGCTGGCAAACTTGCCCGGAGCCCCTTGGCCATGGCAGAATGAGGCAATAGAGTTGGGTCCTGACAGAAATCCGGCTCTGTACTGTAGTTAGTCTTGGTCTTCCTGTGCTGCGTTGCGTGATCTGGGGCGAGGCGTGGGCAAACTGCCTCCACGAGCCAGCTCTCTTTCTTCTTCAATGGACCAACAGTAGATCAGCACCCACCCTGCTGAGGTACTAGTGGTCCGCGAAGACTGGGCATCTGGCACGAAGTTCTCCGACATGGCTACGAAAAAAGCTCCCCTGGCCAGCATATCAACGTATCGCATGTTCATCTTCGTATTTTGGTTGTGGCTTCACCACAGAGACTCCTTGCGGCTACACTGTGTTGTCTCCACGTGGCTTTCTATACCTTTTGTGCGACACTGGCAAACTGCAAGACAACCAATCACGACGGCCGAGGCGTCCTTGACAGACGACACTGACGCAAAGTCGGTTGGTGGCGAAGCCTCTCAGGCAAATGTCTTCTCACTTCTCTGTGTGACCGCGATGTTGCTTTCGTCGTCTTTTTTGTATTCTTCAACATGGGGTGTACCATCCAACACCATCAACCTACAGCATCCCAGGGCATCCTACAGCAAGTCTGGTAAGGCTGCAAGCATGGTGGGGACGCCTTTTTGAAGTTCTTGTTGTCTTCAATAGTGGAGCACATTGTGGTACAGGAGCTGCCAGTCGTCATGACCAACAGTATGCCACCGCCAGAAAGATCCATAGCTTTCAGCGATCAGCCTGACATTCGAAGATCCAAGTCAGACGCTTGACCGCAACACTTGACAAGCTCGACTCCCTGTTTCTGCTTGGGGCTGGACCAGAGCTCACCAGTTCACACGTGAGAAGGGCTGTTGTCGCCTTCATTCTGGTGTGCATTGCCAAGGCCGGATCCCTTGGTAGGTCAGAGGGGACAAGACCAGGAGGAGCCGTCAGCGTTGCCAGTAGCCGCACCCTGGTTGCAGCTTTGTAGAGCTCGGGTGTGCAAGCGAGCAACCCGTGCCTTAACCCGTGCCTTTCGGAGGTATGACCCAGACAATTCCACACCTTCGCAAGAACAGCCTCTTGGAGGGATTGAAAGAGCTTCCATTCTGGCATCCAGGACAAGAGCATGAACGCTAAGTCTGCAGTTGAGTCAGAGCTGTTCAATGTTATGTAGTTGTGAGCCGCTGCGTCCTGCAGATGTTTCTGTGGATTGTCCTGCAGGACGGTATGTACACACGACACAGTTCGATGCAATTTTCTGCGGCGTTATTCTAGCGAACACCGTCGTGAAACTTGGCAGCAGCCTTTTTGTCGAGGTGCTTGTGCCTTGCCTCAAGTCGTGAGATTCTTCCGGCGTAGACATCTGGCTCTACCACAGATCACGATTCTCCAGCCTGAGTTCTGTTTGCTCCTCCCAAACGCATAGCGAAGTGTCAAAAAAAGTGTCATCGTTTTATTCGGCTCGCGTAGTTGAGTTGTATGACGTTCAGTGTGGCGAAGAGCTCCTACTGTACAGTAGTAAGGAGTAGCGTACAGACTGTCCATACTTCTATCTTTGGACCTGGACCACTTGTTGTGGGTGCCAGTAGGACATCTTGCCGCTAACCACCATTCAGAACTCTTACGTGCGGTTTTGTATGGTTTTGATTCTCTCTTCACTTACAGAATCTACTGGTACAGTTTTGATTACGCCCTCCCCTCATGTGATTCGCATCTTGTCTGTTCCAATAACTACATATGTGCTCTTGCAAGACCCAGCCGAGCTAGAACCATGTTTCCAGTGTGCATTAGGATGGCGCTGCAGATGCAGTATAATGGCTTGCGTCGTGGCTACCGGTTGGGTGCTCCACATTTCGATTATGATGCCAGCCGCTTGGTGGAACATGGTGGCCTAGCAAGCTCTCAAACCCTAAAGTCCAATAACTCTTGCAAACGCAAGCCACGCCTCTCTCTTAGTCGAGCGTCTTTCCTGGGACCTTGAGCTCCTTCTGCATGCTTTGCCACTGGGGCCACAATTGCACGCGGCATGCCTGGGGCCGGCGCCTCGGCGCCTCGGGCTGCCAGTGCTCTTCCGTGCTATCGCGCTTGCGGACTTGCAGGGCGCAATGCTTCGGGAGCTAAGTTGGCCTGTGCTTGCACTCTTGCGGTCCAGCATTCTCATGGACTTCTTGCAACAGGAAGTATGAGGGAGAAGGCGCATGGCAACCTAAGGGGTTTGCAAAGCGAAGTTGCCATGCTTGCTGGGGTGTCATGCGGGTCTGTCAATATGCGGCGAGGGGGGTGGGGGGGGAGGGGGCGTCTGGAAGGCACCTGCATCTCAAGGCTTGAGGGAAAGGTCGTGGGTACCTGAGTGTCCTCCCGAGACGCCAAAGGCTCTGTCGGGCTTGGTGGATTTGGAGGCTCTGATTGGTGCTGATGTTTCGCACGCATGCTTGTCTTGCGGCTACAGGTGAGTACTGGCCGCAAGCGCCCCTCTTTTTCACGATCTTGGCGGACTTGTCTGCAACATGAGTCGCTTGTGGGGGCCAGAGGGCGAACTAATAGTAGCAGTAGCAGGATTGTCTGAGTCTTTCGAAAGAAAGAGTTAGCGAGTTTAGAAAGAGAATGAAGCAGAGGAGCTTCAGTGCAGAGCCCTCCCTGCTGTTCGCGTTCAGAAGCTACAGCCTCACGTAGGCCCATGAAACGCAGTTCATGACTGCACAAGTGAGAAAAGTCCGGGTCAACGGTGCAGAGCTTTTGTCGCTGCCATGCTCAATGTCCCTAGGATTGGATCTTTGGCATTACATATTGCATCGAGATGATCGTCAAGGTCATAGGCTTGAAGAAGCGCTTCTTACTTGTCGCTTGAAGGCAAGATCGCTTGTGTTTGATCCCGATCCGTTCATTTCGCTTGATTGCTATCTCCTCCAAGGAATGGTGGAATTGGTTCGACGCGGCAATTGTCTTGATGTGGCTTGTGGAAGTCTCTCTGCAATCATTCTTTCGCTTAGAACCTGCAGTTCTCCGCAGCTTGGCTGCCATGAAGCTGATTCATCCTGTCGAGCAGAAAGACCACAAAGTCAAGTTAGAGGTGGAGAGAGGTCCGGCAAGCATCGTGCGTATTGGCATAAGAAGTGATTGACCAGCTGTGCGCTCGATACAGGAATGATGCGAATGGCACGGCTTCTCCGACTCATCCGGCTAGTGAAGACAATTCAAGGCACAGATTCAAAACTCGCTTTTTGCTCAGGGTTTCGGGAGATTTGCTTGGCTCTCAGTGCGCCATTGCCATGTGTCGATTCGAATGGGCTGATTTTCTTCCATCTGCCGCCGATGACGCAGGCTTTGATGCATTGTACATCATGACGACGGCCATGCAGGGCAGCGCCACGTGCTTGTTTTGGTCCTTCATGCTTCCTGGATGAGTCAGAATCACGGGGACTACGTGCCTAAGCACTCCAGGATAAGCATGTGCGTGCATCTGGACAAAGGCTGCTCACGACGGTGCAGATGATGATCGCGTTCTTCCTGAATGAGTCTCTGGAAGTTTACTTCAATGACGAGAGCAAGCCGGCGACTGTGCATGCAACGTAAAGGACGTAAAGTTCAGTAGGCACCCCATCCAGAATATGCCATGAAAAAACACAACGCGCAGTCAGCCTCCTCCTAGTTTGGTTCTTTCTCAGCTCCAGGTCTCATGGACATGTTTCTGGATTACTGCAGTGAAGGCTGGGTTTGGAGAATCTGAGGCATCGGAGAAGCTGGAAGTTTTCGAGTACTTTGGCACTACAGCACGGGTCATGCTCACCATGTTCGAGTTGACCCTGGCGCGACTTGTTCGAAGTTGTTCATGCGTTGCTGCAGTGATCAGCAACCATGTGCCATGCATTGGACATTCGAGGAATTGGCCGACGGCTGCTCGCATATTGCAGGAGAATGTCACAGCTGCTTGCCTCCAGCAACCAGTATCAGTCGATATGAAAGCCCATGCCGTCCATGGGAGCAATTGCCGCTTCCAAGGAATTCTATTCAGTTTTCTCGGTTTCTTACAAGCTGATCGTTGGCTTTGCTGCGGTCGGAATCATCAACGGCGTGTTCATGCAGCTTGGCAGGGAAGAAAGCCGAATGAGGCTTCCAGACGAGTGCAGATCTGGAAACAAACTTTTTGTTGACTCACCGCACTGATCTGATGTCAGAGTCATACGGCACAATGTTTGCGTCAATGTCGTATGCCACATGTGGCTTCCACATTGCTCGTGGAAATGGTATGCCTGGATTCACCGAGGCAAGAGACGTTCAAAGTGGCAGCGTCAGATGACAAGTTGATGATGCGACAGAAGGAGCAAGCATTCAGCACAACTCATGAGGGGATTGTTTCCTTCCGAACATCTGGAAGTCACCTCCCTACAACTATGGCCAACCAGATGTCAGGAAGTGCGTAAGAATATGGTTTTTTCTACTGTGCTGAGAAGGTGATCCGAAAAGGCCATCAGGCAAAACATGATCAAGGCCGGTTATTTGTTCACCAGGCCCAGGAAACAGGTGCCAACACCCAAAGAGAGACAAAGTTGAATAGCGAACAGTGACAGGCCATGTGTCCAAATGGAGAAGATTGTGAACCACCGAGCTGCTTCTTTGTTTGAGGAGCGAGATCGGTCGCTGCACACGAAGAAGATGAGAACACTTTTTGCCGCAGCTGATGAATCGGGTGATGGATTTATCGTCGCTCAGCTTGGGGGGGGGAAGAAAAGTTGGGAAGGTTTTCAAGATTTGACGCGTTTTGCAGATGGACGTGTGTCAAGCTGCCCCTGATAAGTCAGCACGGTGTCTCCAGCTCAGGATCGGCAGGAATTCTGCGAAATCATGAACATTCCAGAAGTGAGGATACCGCTTGTGTTGTAGACACGGTGCGGAGGCTGCATCCAAAGTGCTGCTTCTTTATCAGTGGATCACCAGGAAGCCAATGATTTTCATCTTTTCGTTCTCCCTTTTTCTTGTTTGCCTTTTGCATCGCTTCGCTCATTGTTCCAAGCGTGCAAACATTACAATTGAAACTATGCTGCGGGCTTTACATTACATAATCTTGTAAACCCGTGTTAATTTTGAATTCAGTCATTTTGTTTGCTTGTATGTTTTAGTTCATTGCGTTTATCATATTTTCGACTTCTAAATCATAATTTTAACTCACATGGGTTGGTGGTCTCTTTAAGTCGGGTTTCTGTTTTGCAGGGGCATTGTATTCGGGGCTCTGATTGGGGTATCTAGGTCATAATCTCATAATGCATGAGTAATTTAGGTGTATTCTTATCTTTTTCTATTGCTAGTCAGTCGGAGGCAAGATTGCTCGTGCAGAGCTGCCATGCCTGCTGCCCTGAGCGTGTGTGGGGGCATGGGGGGGGCGGGGGGCGGAGGGGGAATAGAGCCAGAAATTCCAAGCACATTGCTCTTCAACTCTTCAACGAAACTATTGCCAGAGGCGGGAACAGCTCAAGCTTCTGTCAGGCAACCCTTCAACTTTCGCGACGCCTTGACAGTGCAAACTGCGCATGGTTTCATATTGGGATCATCGCTGCTGAACGCCGGGCTCCTGGAACTTGGGCCGGCAGAGTAGTTCAGATCATTGTGCCTAGGCGAAGTGCGGGTTAAGTACAACAAGTTTCAGCCTTACTAATGAAGACATATGAAGACCGATCTTATGAAAGGGGCATGCTCAGCAGCAGTAGTTTTTTGTGAGCTCGGCTGGCTTTCGCTTTGTGGTGCCACTGCTGCTGCTCTCCGAGTACTTGACTCCTTGAAAAATTCAGATTTTGTTGGACCTATGTCTGCGCATGCTGCAATCCGTTGCATATTGTATGGGCCTGCAAAGTTGTTAATGGCGCTGTGGAAAGTTCCGCATGTCAAATTGTCGAGGGCGACAGTAATGTGTGTCTCTGTGTGTGTGTGTGTGTGTGCGTGTGTCTGTGTCTGTGTCTGTGTCTGTGTCTGTGTCTGTGTCTGTGTCTGTGTCTGTGTCTGTGTCTGTGTCTGTGTGTCTGTGCGCGTGATTGTGCATTTCTGTGTGTGTGATCTAGCCAGCCATTGTACATTTTGGGGGCAGAAGTTGAGTTTGGTTCTTGACCATCCGGCCATTTGCAGCAGCCACGTTGCGCAGGACATGGTTGGCAGCCCAAGAACTTCCGGTTCGTGCAGCTTGGCAGCGGATGTCGAAGCTTTCAAAGGTCTGCAAGCAAACGTTTTGCCATTTCAGCAGTGTCGCAGCGCACTTTTTGCCAGAGCAGTAGGACAGGGGCGTGTTGCTAGGACGGAGGTTGTAGCTAGGATCTTTGGGCTTTTTTTTTTCGTTGTGTCACCACGCTTGAAGGCAGGCCTTTGGCTCCTTTCGCGCACAGATGGAACAAGTTCCGGGTCGTTCTCGTCCCACTCAGGACCCAAACATTTTATTCAGTTTGCTCGATGATGGCGATGCCGAGCTCACTGCCGTTCGCTGCCTCAGCTGACTTGTTCAGACAGTCAAGCTGTTTCCTGTGGCGGCCAATGAGTGCACTGAGGAAGAGCTAGTCAAAGGCGTTGAACGCCTGAAAGGAACTGCCAAAGGCATTGACCTTGCTGCTTTCATAGCCGAGTACCGTGACTTCGATGCAAGCAGAACCATGGATGACACCCGTACCTTTGAGATGCTTGCTGCAACTGCTCAACGCATGACCAGGCGACTTCGCCTCGAAAGTCGCCGGGAAATTGGATATCGAGCTGGACTTCCCAATCAAAAGCGAGGAAGAGGATGAGGAGGATGGGGAGGAGGGGAAGGAGTGAACAAGTGAGCTCTCGTCTTCAACTCGAGATTCCCGCAATATCTTCCGACTTTGCCTCGGATCCGTGGCGCGCTGTTTGGCACAACAAGCTGGGTTAAATTAGGAAAAAGGAGAGAAAGCAAGCAGTACGAAACGTACGATATGCGCATATGGGAATGTCCACAAAGCGGTGCCAGAGCTGGAGCGTGAATTGCTCACCATCATAAATGCGCTGCCGGTAGCCTGTTGGTCTTTCGTTGAGCGGATGTTCCTGAAACCGTTCTTCAAGCTCCGAAACGGGAGCCTCTTCGTTGCGTGTGGGCCTGAATAGGTGTAGCAGCGACTCTCTGTAATGGTAATGCTCATATTCAGTAGCAAGGCCAACCATACCAACCATACCAACCATACCAACCATACAGGCAGGCCCACTTGTTTTCCCCCCCAGCAGTCACACGGTCTTAGCAGGCACTTGCTCTCTCATCTGCAAGTAGTTGCATTGTGGCCACCAGATGTGACATGTGACTGTGAGTGGCCAGCGCTTTTCGATATAAGCTCCATTGCGTCTGAGCAGCTAAAAGACGCAAAGGACAGTCGCAATGCCTGCGGCATTGAGAACAGCGTTGAGATAGTCCTTTTGTTTAGGGAACTTGTTGCGAATTGTTTGGCTCATCTCTCTCTGCAGGGCGGTGTCAGAAAGATTCCCTGATTCCAGAACTATAGTAACCAGGCGCGGGCTCCAGCTGGATATCCAACCGTGAGCCACGCCTGTCGTTGAACATTTGCGAATTCAGTCGCGCTTTCTTTAAATTCGTAGTAGGTTGCTGCAGGCTTGTTTTGCCCACACTGGATTGGTGCATTCCGACAAAGGTCATGTGTCCTCTGTCAACAAAAGAAATGTGAACAAGCTTGCACTTGCACGTTGCCATCGTTTCACCTTCGACGTGCCTTGAGCCGCGTTGCACCCAGCAAGGGACGACGAAGCGAGGGCAGCCAATACGTATCTCACGTCTGGCACAAAGGCTTCAAAGGCGTGTGTCCGCACGGGAGCAACCCAAGAACGGCATGACAGGCACCAGGATGGTCAGTGCCGGTGCGCAAATTGCACGACGCAGCATGAAGGTTTCAAGCTCATGCAGGATTATGGTGCAGACGTAGAGGAGAGGCAAGCCGCACGACACAAGCCCTTGCCTGTACTGGGGATTGACGAGTTGAATGAATGGCGTGGCTCAGCTCAGCAAAAGTCATCAGCATATACCAGCAGTTATTAGCACGGCAGCTTTGCGATGTCTGGCGGATGAGCAGCTGGGCTGTTCTCTGCTCACCAAAGCTTTGGCAGAGCATCTTGCGAGCATGCCAACAAGCCCGAGAAGCCCAAGACTCCGGGACACAACAGAACTCTTGTTTTGTGCTTTCTTTGTTGTGCAATGAGCGTAAGACTATCGTAAGATTGAGTGAGTCGCTTATTGACCAAATTACATGTTGGGGGCCGAGGGATGAAAACAACAGTGACTGCTGCTGTTGCACCATCCGTGCCCCGTGCATTCAAGGACATGGTGGCTTGGTACTAGTGAGCCTCTGCTACATCGCAGAACTTGGATCCTGCACCTGCATGCATCTGCATGCATCTGCTTTGTGTGGTCTTTTTTGGCCGCGTCTCTGAGACATAGTTGCCCGGCAACCACAGCAGAGCTATTGTAGGGCGAGAGTCTCCGAACAGCGCCTCGCAGCAGAACCCATACAGTCATGTTGACAAATAACAAACGTTGACAAGCAATGCAAAGCTGGTGCAAAGCTGCAATCCAGGACATTCTTGACTTGGACGGTCTCCTGGGCGCAGCTGCCTTTTGGAGCAGGAGGCCGGCTCTTTATGCTCTCTCACTGCAAGAGCTCAGTTGACCATGTGGAGAAATTGTATGAGCGTGCACATCCCAAGGTCAGAGTGGTGCTGGGCTAGGTCTCGGCTTCAGAGAAGGATCTGCCGAGCAACCGGGCCTCGGCGGTTCCGCAGCTGGAACGCCGCCAGGAGGCTTGAACTTGCCACCATCCAGTACTGGTGGCTTTGGTGGCAATAGCTTCGGCGGCGGCTTCGGTCTCGGTGGTGGCGGCCTCGGCGGTGGCGGTCTCGCTGGTGGCGGCCTCGGCGGTGGCGGCCTCGGCGGTGGCGGTCTCGGTGGTGGCGGTCTCGGTGGTGGCGGTCTCGGTGGTGGCGGTCTCGGTGGTGGGGGCCTCGGTGGTGGCAGCTTCGGTGGTGGGGGCCTCGGTGGTGGCGACCTCGGTGGCAGCTTCGGTGGTGGCAGCTTGGGTGCAGGGTTAGGTGGCGGAGTCTTAGGCGGTGGGTTGGGTGGTGGCGGTGGCGCAGGCTTGGGTGGGGGTTTGGGTGGTTCGGCAGGTGGTGGCTTGGGTGGCAATAGCTTCGGTGGCAATGCTGCTGGTGGCTTGGGCATGGGTGGCTCCGGACTTGCAGCTGGTGGACTTGGCTCTGCTGGGCTTGGAGGTCATGCCACACATGCAACATGAGGTTCTCTTAGGTTCCGATTGTGAGGGCTTGCAAACTACAAGCCGAGCCTGTCCAGGTCTGGGAAGCCAGCTGGGCGGGGCTCCTGGGCTCGGCACCGGGTTGTTGGGAGGACTCGGCTTGCTCAAATCTGTTCTGTTCGGCACTTGGTTGTGGCATAATTTGGGACACAGCGATCCCCGCAGAAGGAGGCCCGGCTTCTCCGATGTCTCCGCCATCGCTGCAGGCTTCCCAGCCATCCCCCGTACCTGCAAAACTGAGCAGTGATCCGGAGACGCTGCACCAAGCGTTTCACTACGCCGACATTGCAGTCACTCGTCCTGAAGTTTCTTGCGTTTGATGCTAGAATGTCGTGGCTTTAGAAGCACCATACCACAGACATCACAGACCCGGATTCAATCTCTCCAGGCTTTTTTATTGCAGCCTCCCCAGCCACACTCCATTGAAGCCTGCCGCGAGCTTTGTCGGCAAAACGACACCTGTGCAGCGTGGGAGGCTCGTGGAAGGGGATGTCGGATTCAAGCCTCATGCGTCTGTGGAGCACAAGATTGCACTTGGAGCGCTGCTTGAGTTGCGTTGCCAGTCTTTGCCTGCTTGCGCTTCATAGATTTATTGCTGCAGTCGAGAAGAGCTTGTGGCGAGGTATGCGCGCCTTTGGGTGATGGGTGCGATGGCTGCTGCGTGGCATGCAAGTGTGTATGTATGTATGTATGTATGTCTGTATGTCTGTATGTCTGTATGTCTGTATGTCTGTATGTCTGTATGTCTGATGTGTGTATGTGTGCATGTGTGCATGTGTGTATGTATGTGTGTGTGTGTGTGTGTAAATGTGTGTGTGTGTGTGTGTGTCTCTCTGTGTCTCTCTGTGTCTCTCTGTGTCTCTCTGTGTCTCTCTGTGTCTCTCTGTGTCTCTCTGTGTCTCTCTGTGTCTCTCTGTGTCTCTCTGTGTCTCTCTGTGTCTCTGTGTCTCTCTGTGTCTCTCTGTCTCTCTCTCTCTCTCTGTCTCTCTCTCCCTCTCTCTCTCTCTCTCTCCATCTCTCTCGGTCTGTGTGTGTGTGTACCTTGTTTAGGCCCAGGCTGCAGCACGGGCTTGGTGTTCACTCACTGGCAGAACTCAAGGAGTACTGGGCAGTGTCGCCCGTGGCGTTGGCCAGGCTACCTAGTATCCCGTGCTCCGCGCCGTTGGGACCAACGTCAGGGCTGGCACGCGGAGATCTTGAAAGGCGGAATTTTGGGAACCACATGTTTGTTGCTTTGCGGGTTGGGATGAATAGAAGCAAGGAAGGAAGCAAGGATTAGCAAGGATTCAATTCCATGACTTGAAAACCATTCAACAATCGCTTTGTTTGCAACTTGGCTTGGCAAAACTCGCCCCCCCCCCACACAATCGCTGTTTGCATACTTGTGGGAAGAAAAGCCGTTAACGCCACGCACCTTTTGAAGCCATGCCTGCTCGCTCTTCTTGAGAGCTTCTTTCATGGCGTGCATGCGTGCTTGTCCATCAACAATTACCTATACGTACCTGCTGCGACGGCTTCGCATCGCACTCGCAAATCCTGCCTCTGGCCCCCAGGCGGTCTGTCTGTGTACGGAGTTTAGAAAGTACGTTCCTCGCGTCCGGGGTGGGCAGGGGTTCGTCTTAAGAAATCAAGAGGGTGTAGGGACAATGGGGAGTCGCAAGGTGGATGAAGGTGGACTTGAGGTTTGTCTTGGGAGGGGGTCGGAAGGGGTGTTCTAGTAGGCAGTTTAGAAACTTCAGGGGTTCCCGCCTGCCGCAGCAACCCCCAGGTGGGTGTACAGTAGGGCATTCCAGTGATTCTAGTGGGGCATCCCCGCCAGTACGAGGTTCAACGTCCACCTGGTTTCTTGAAAGGCCCGGCAGGAGGGCTTCAAAAGGGCCGACAGGAATGTAAAGGAGGGATTACGCTAGCATGAAATATTTTAGATAGTTTAAGTCATGTCACCGGCCCCAGTTCAATAATAAATGAACTGGGTCCAAGTAATTTTTGAAGTGCACGTCCCCCAAAAATCCCGCCGAGTATGGCTGGCACTCCAGAATCTCAAAGAGTCCTGCAGTGTGCAATCTCGCAGAAAAACCCTTTGATCATAGAACCTGAAACATATTTTAGTCCCCGGTCCCATTCAAAGAGAAGAACCTCTGGTTGGAATCGGGTGAAAAACAAAAAGCAATTTCATATTAAAAATTCAAATTTGTTTGAATCAGAGGGAATCCCGAACATGTGGATTTCAGATAACTTTCTTTGCCCGATTCTGATTGCTTAAAGCAATATTGTCTGTTTAAACCATTACATGGGAGTCACCAAACTACATAGTTTAATTAACTAGATCACCGGTCCCATCATATTAGCTTGCGCTTTAGTTGGGCCGCCCTCATAAAGTCAAGTTTGTCGGGCTCGGGGCGAGTCTTGCGGGCGTCACAAGAAGCGTACCGTGCGGCGCCTTGAAAAATCTTTGTCTGAGGGGCTGCCGGGAGAGTGGTTCCTTGTGAATGAAACTCTCCCGAGTGTCTAAAGTGGGTCCGAATCGGTTTCGACAGAGAGAGAGAGAGAAAAGAAGAAGAAGAAGAAGAAGAAGAAGAAGAAGAAGAAGAGAAAGAATCGGTTTCGACTGTTGGGGGGGGGGGAGACACATTGTCGCAGTTCCAACATCAGTGCGGCGGGGCTCTTGCGGGGTGGGAACTTCGGGATTCTCGGCAGGGCACTCTGCAGGGGTGGCCACTCCGGGGAGGATTGCCTGAGAGATGCAAGACAGAGGCGAGGAGACTGGCGGGCTTAACTTCTAACAACCCCACACCTAGACCTAGGGTGGGGAACACAATAAAGGAGCCAACAGCACAGCAGGAGCCCAAATCGAATCTGTGGCTGGTTGAACAGCATTGCAGCAACGCCTTGCTCGTCGCCAGGCAGGGAGGAGCTTGGGTGGAACCAAGAGAATGAGTTCAGCCCAGCAGCTGGGCGATGCTTGTTAGTTTGCATTCCCCATCATTCCCCGCATGCGCTTCAAGATGCTTCGAGTGTGTTGCCAGGCGAACCTCACCAAGGAAGGCTGCAAGGAGTTCTTGCTGCAAGCAAACGGACCCGAGCCAGCAGTTTTTGCCATCGCTGCTGCTTGATACGGTTGCGGTCGTGCACATCTCAGATGGCACGACTCGTAAGGAGCAGACCAGAGCGTCCCTTTCCACGAGCCGGCAATCATGCAGAAGTATGCCGCGTGCTTTGGCAACATAAGTTCTAAGCTATTTCAGTTGATAAGATGTCCGGACGCCGTCTCCCGAGATGAAAGGTGAATAGAACTGGGTCGGGCATTGTAAGGTGTGGAATTTTGGTCTGGGAGGAAGCGCCGGACCGAGACTCCCGGGACCTCAGCGTCGTGGGACAGCACTGGCCGACCTTCGTTGTCACGAACTTTCGCGAGCCGCCGGTTCTGCTGCCGCAGGAGCCGCCTTTTGGGCCATTTGCGAGGTGAATTCTCGGGTGCTAGACTGGCATAGCTAGTGCATTTAGTCGTGGCCTCGCTGGGGACCACAGGACGTGGAGCAGGAGATGTTGGCTGCTGCACCTCGTTCCCCTCGTAGCCCCTCGCCGCTTGCCGCAGCAGCGCTGGCGGCTGCTGAGCGACCAGGTGGACATTGCATGATGCTGCCAATGCCATGGCATGAGCGGTGTGTGAGCGGCGATGCTCTTGCAAGGTGTCACGGCGCAGCTTCATGGCACTATCGGGTCGCAGAACTGGGAAGACCGGAAGAACAAGGTTGGAGCACGGCATGGGCTTACAGCTACTTATCCTTCAGCCACAGCTGTATGCTCTGGACGGCGGTGCTCCTGAGTCCCTCACACTAAGTATGCTACGACATGCATGCGTGCAGGCATGCATGCCTATCTGTTGCCTGTCACCTACATGGGTGCTGACTGAGACTGCGACTGGGGTCTTGTTTCAAGCATGTCACATCATGTCCCAAACAAGCAAAGCTTGGCGTTCTCCCCGTCGTTCCCTGCACTCCAGTGTATGGAGCCCTCTGGGTGATAGTTGGAACTTTTGGAAACCAAGGCCCGGCAGAAGGGCACAGGTCGTGAGGTTTCCCTTAACCTTCCTGTGCCTCTTTGCCGGGAATGCTTGCAGGAATTGACAACTTGAGGTGGCCCGCCTCGCCAAACATAAATGAAAGCCATTTACGCCTAGAACCTGTAAACAAAGAAGACCTAGATGTACCAGCAAAGCCTTATAGCGAGCCTCGATTTGCAGGGTCGTGCTCCGCATGCTTTCCTCCTACCGTTCTACGACACCAATATAGGGCACTGGATGAAGCAGCATGGCTCCATGAACCCTCTGCAATCCTACGAGATGCAGTCCCTTCTGCAACCAGGGGACACAGTGATTGATGTGGGAGCCAACCTCGGCTGCTACACAGTGCCCTTCGCGGAGCGTGTGGGCGTGGCAGGCAAGGTCATCTCCTTCGAGCCTTTCCGTTGGCTTCGGCAAGTCGTAGCAGCCAATGTTGCCATGAACGGCCTCAGCAACGTTTGGCTTCCTCCTGTGGGACTCAGCACGTCACGAGCAAGCTTCGAGGCACGCCCACCTCAGCTCAAATTCTTCTCATCGCCTGGCGGCATGAAGCTTCAACAGCAGCAGCAGGATGCAAAGCCAGAGGAGGTCATGCAACTCAACATAGTCAACTTGTTTCTTATCTTTCTGTATGTTTGGCGCGCATGCCCCCGCCCTCCCCCCCCCCCCCCCCCCGCGCGAACATTGAGCCAATCCAGAGGTCATGCAGCTGTATGACTGGGACTCTGCCCCAGAACGCATCACAGTCCTAAGCCTCGATGAAGTTCTTGGGCTGGTGCCTTCTCCTGGCGTGGAGCTCTTAGGCCTCCCCCAGGTGGACGACGTTCGGCTGATCAAGATCGACGTGGAAGGAATGGAGAAGGAGGTGCTTGCAGGGGCACGACGAGCTGTACAGGCATTTAAGCCCATCGTCTGGACCGAGAACGTCGCGTATTTTTCGTCGAACGGTCCGGGCCCAAGCAGTTGTCCCTTCCGGCCACCATTCAAGGTCACCTTCTCTCATAAGGCAAGCCTTGATGCTGGGACATGCTGAGATGTGATGGCAGATGCGACGGCAGATGTGCTGACAGATGTGTGTTTGTTAGATATTTAATATGAGGAGTTATCAGGAGATGTGCGTTGCTACGATACTGTAGTTGCTACGCTGCTACAATTTGCAATTATTCTGCACTACAAAGATGTTTGCAAATCCAGCAGGCCTGTACCCCATGCCGACCGCTTGCTGGACGTGTTCGCATATGCTCGCTTCTGATCGTCTGTGTTAGCATAACTTCGTTACTGGTGGTTCTGCGGATTTGGACTTGCGCAGTGTGCCCGCCGCAATCTTCTTGTCCAAAGACACGCTCACTCTTGATGACAATAGTCCAGAGAGCACACGCCTTCTGCCAGGTGCTAATACTCCTCCCATCACCACAGTGACCCTTGCATCACCCTCACGAAGAAGAGCTGGGACGTTCTGAAACTTAGGTCCCTCTCGGGGCTCATTCTTTTTTTCGGGTGCGACATTTTGTCAGGCCCAGGGAGTAGAAGCTTAGGGAGTTTACGCAGCCCCTGTGTTTAAACATGGAGGAAGGCGGCACGATGAAACCTCTAGAGCCCGTTGCCAAGACGGGCTTGGCCAAGCTACCAAACCGAGGATGCTATGCAGCCAAGATCTTTACCACCTCGAGTGGGCAAGTGTTTAACGGTCTGCTTCAGTGCCAGAAGACTTGGACCCGGCAGCTGTAGCAGCTGGAGATATCTCCTGCGGCACTGTGAAGAGCTGGTGGGGGAAGTGGAAGGTTTCCCGGGACACAAGGTGGTCGACGTGCAACTCAGAGACGCTGGGCCCGGTCGCCGTAGCTGGTCACTGGGCTGGGCTGAGCTCGGAGACGGTGCTCCACCCAAACTCGGGTCACCTGGTCTTGGGACAAAGCTGGGTTTGAGAGTTGATGCAGCATTGAAGCCAGCCTGGTGCCTGAGAGTCTCGCCACCAACCGGAGCCAGACCTAGTCAGAACCCTGCACATGGAGCATCTGACAGCAGGAGTTTGAGGCTTCCAGAGGTGCGTCCCCGAACTCCTCAGAGGCACCGCAACATGATGGAGAGTTTTCAGACCACGGCAACACGGTTTCCCCCCGCAACTCGACCCTTCAATCAGCTGAAAGCTAGCTGCTATTCGGCACTGCTTTCCGGCGACGCCTAAGAAAAAGCAGTTGACGGGATATAGCTAGGACCAGTGGAGCCCGGCAAAGCTTCTTCTTAACCTCGAAAGTTCCCACAGCACTGACGGGCAGCTGCCCAACCCCTTTTCACTGCCCAAAGCGCATGATTTCTTCCGGGATGCCACCCATTGTGTCGAAGAACTGCCATTGCTTAGAAAGCTATATCTTCACGTCCTTCGGGTTCGCTTCGCAGCGTGCACCTGTGCACCTGTGGCGTGGGCATGACATCAGGTAATCAAGGCAAGCTTGGTTCGTCAAATGGCTGCCAAGCTCAGGTCAGGATGTGTCCTTCCTGCAGTCGCTCAGCTGATTTGGTGATGGCAGCTCCACACACTTGAGGCAGGTGTCCGACCTCGTAAATTCTGAACCTTCAACTCTTTACACACCTATTAACTACTGTAGATTTGCGAGTGGCCGAAAATGGCCGCAGTGGGCCCAAATTTCAGGTTGCCGCGGTGGGTGGGCAATTTGGAGGTTCCATGGTACTGAAGCTCAGGATAATGGACGAGATGGAGTATGCGTGTGCTCAGGCGCAAAACGCACCAAATGACATCATTTGCACCGACCGGCAAGGTCGAGGGCATCAAATTCTTTAACACATCGGCTGAGCCTCTGAGCCTGGCAAGATGCCGTGGCACAGGCTGCTACGTTAGAAGCAGAAACAAGCATCGTTGTGCCCCTGCTTGCGCAGTTGCCTCGTTGGGCAGCATCTCACACAAGTTGCAGAGTGTAGCAACCGGCTGCTAGAAGAGTAGCTGCCGAGGAGTGCGGGTTGCTTTCGGTTCTGGAAGAAGCTTGTGCTTGATTTCGCTGCCAGAAGGCATGCTTGTGGAGGCGAGGAGGATACTGAGTGCAAGAGTTTGCTAATATCCCCACAAACATGATACATGTCTGGATAGTTGGCCGCGTGCAAAACGCAAGTTGCCAGAGCTGCATGTCCATGCCGCCACTCAAAGCCGCAGTCAGTTTGCAGTGCTTCTGAAAGCGCCAGCTGAGTAGCTGCAAGCAACCACTCAATGTTTGGTGATTGACTAGCAGCATAGCAGTCCAAGCACGCTACTTCCGTAGCTTGAGACTGGTCACCCGTTCTGCGACCAAGCCCAGAACTGGGCAGTTTCGACAGAACTGGGCAGTTTCGACAACCATGGCCCTTTGGCATGAACTGGTTGTGGCTTGTGCTGGATGGGTACAGGGTAGGGCTCATGTCTTTCAAGCTTGAGGACGACGACCCTGCTTTCGGCAACCGTGGCGCTGCCATAGGCGTCTATGTCGAGAGACCCAACAGACCTGGCAAGGCCTGATGACTGTGTTAGTAGCATGGGCTGCCAAAGACAACCGAGGCAACTGACTTTCTTGGTTTAATTTCAGACGCAGTGGTGGGTGGAACTGACCGTCAATCGACACTTTCTGGCGAGGTGTTCAAGCTTCGAGATCTTCGTGCCAGCAAGGACACAGGCGGCTATGCCAGCCAGGAAAACTACCCACGATCATCTCCAGATCGACACTCAGCTGAACAGGGTAGGCAGTTTCGATCTACTCGTCCAGCTTGGGGAGGCACACGCTGAGAGGGCGGGCATGTGCGCAGTCGCTCTTTCAAGCAGTGTTTAAGCAGAGCAAGGGCACCCATACAGTCTTGCACAGCACCATGCGCCGTTTGCCGCTCAGCACCTGGCAATGCATCCCTGAACGGCGCTGCCACGCTGCCGCAATCGACAACCTAAAACATGCCCACATGTACAAGCAGCAAGTAGTCAATGGACAGTTTAGCCGTTTCTCATCCCTCACCAGCTGGGGGACGTACACACTGTTTAGCACTATAATACACTATACTAGCAGATACTAGCAATTACGCATATCAAGATGCGTAGGTACATGTCATACATATTATGTGCTCATACGCACACATGTCAACGAATATGTGCTCCTCCTATGGTGCACTACAATGTAGCACACGAAAAAAACGTCGCATCACGCACAGAAAGTTGTCAAAGGTGATCCGTCGCCGCTTCCGTCCCCGCTTCCGTCCCCGAGCTACCGGACAAAAGGCTTGGAGACACCGGACTCGCGCCGCCACCTCAGTGGGGCACCAGGGAGACTCGAGTTGTGCTCCGTGAGTTGTGCTGCCCTTTCTGCGCCGGACTTCGGGGTTCCACGAGTCCACGGATGACAAGGTGGGCGTTCGGGATCACCACTGCGAAAGGCTGCAGATTACAACTTCCTGGAGGAGCCACGAAGCCGCTTGCAAGCCGAAGCACGCACGTCCAAGCCACATGTATTTGCTGTGCTGACTTTGAACTAGCTCCACTGGTTACCATGTTGCGCATTGCGCATGCCATGGGGGCTAGTCCTGAGGTCATAGGCGAGTGCACCCGGAACACTCTTTTGACGACGACGATCTGCTACCACGCAGCAAGGATGCAAACCAGACCTCGAGTCCCTCTGCTCCCTCTGACCCCAAAGACCTGCTTGGAAGTATTACACGTACGAAATTCATACAATGGTGCAGCATTGCACCTACTCCGCTTGCCGACCCGCCCCCCAAATTATCGGACTCCAAAGTTGAGCCCTTTTCAAGCACCTCCCCACCCTCGCTTACGCAAGGAGGGAGACTCGGGGGTCAAGGGCTTAGAGAAAGTGGGCTTGTGGCTAGAATTTGCTGCGGAAAGAAACCTTCGACCCTGAAAACAGATCAGGGCCCGGACAGTTGGACTATAGAGGCTCAAACAGTAACAGTCGCCCGATTCTGCTTAAGTCTGGAAAGTTAATTTTATCGCAGCTCCACAACAAAGGCAGGTGCGTCACTATCTTTCGGAGGCTCAAGGTCCTGGAATCGTAGGTTAGGCCGTGGCAGTGGCGTCATGCCGGTTGCCAGTTCTGCACTCCACTTGCATTCTTTCGAAGTTCTTGCTGCTCCTGTTTTGCATCGATGGCTGCATGCTGGCCTCTGGTTTTGCAATGCGCAATCCGATCATTGCAAACCGGATGCTGTGCCAAACCCTGCCAACAGCCCAGCTGTTCTCACCTTTGTGCATCTTCAACACGACGACAACGGCAAACTTTGCAAGATGCTCACCTGCTCTTCGGTCTGAACTGGCCAAATTCCAATCGTCAAATCAATGGTTGGTGGAGTTGTGCTTGTCAAAGGTCTGGCATTTTCTGTAATGAGTCGGAAGGCGGGACTCACCGGCGTGAAATTCCGAACAGAAAGAGAAGCGCCAAAGAATTTCAGCAGACATGCCAAGTTGAATTTGTCGGCATGTTCAGTTCTGGGGCAGCATTGCCAAAGATGCCCATCTAAGCAGGGGGATATTGGTCCAACGGAGTTTCAAACAAAGGCCGCACATGCAACACACGGAAGCACAGTTTGGCAAGGTGCTTGGTGCTTGCATGTGCCCATGCTGTGCTTTCCATTGCTTACCTTGCTTTGGCGCATGCATTATTGAATGTTTGGCATGCTTGGGCTGTTGGGGCTTGCGGGGTTGCGTTAGGGCTGAGCGATGCCGAAATAGTGACCAGTTACTAAGTCGATGATGGCAGGCAAACGAAGAAACCAGGTTAGTGAGGTCCCCAAAATGGGCCTGGAAAGCTGGCATGAACTAGTGGCCTCTGTCTACCGTACAGATTCTTGTGGCTTGCTATCGGGCATTCCCCTCCCTCCCCGCTTCGGTTTGAGCACCTTGCTCCCAAGCTGAGGTCACAGCTTCAACTCCCAGCACTCTTCACATGATAGCCTCCGCACTTTGGCTCACAAAACCAGTCTCAGGGGCAGGGCTGCAAAGGGACGTTCACGGCTGGCCTGATAGTCGCAAGCTTTTGGTGCGCAAGTCGAGGTTCCCATAATGATTTCTCCTCATCTCTTTTAAGGATGGACTGTGGACGCGAGACCAATGAGCAGAGGCAGGGAAGACAGAGGTGCCGCCGCGGCAAGGAGGAAGCTCCCGCCATTCTCCATGCGTTGCCGTATCGCATGCATATGTAACCTCTTCAAACCGAGGTCCGCAACCCTATCTCAGACAGCCAAGTGGCGAAAGGTACAGCATCTTGGATCGGTTTCGAGAAGCGCGAAGTATTACCGACGATTCTGCTGCGAAGAGCAATTCCAGTGCTAGAAGGGTGCGGTCGAATCAACAGCAAGAATACTGCGCACACAACTCACCGGCACAAACTCCAAATTCTGATCAGCTTTCTTATGCCGTTGGACACATCACCGAAGCTGCCATCCTGCAAAAATCCGTTCAAAATAGGCGCCAACAGCGCCACGTACTTCAAGATTGGTTCACATCATATTTCTGTCCAGTATTGTTGATGCTTCTTTTGGTGGAACTGAGGCATGAGTGCCCCCAACGAGCTCTCGATGAGCAGAAGGCCGCCAGGGCCTGCAGGACCTCAGTCCAGTGAGGAGTTCCGCAGCCTCTTGCTCGAACTCCGTTCTCTTTGGCTTGATGGATGTCCAAATTTGTTTTGGAGTCGACGGTTGGGTGAATTAAGGTTGGCTGGCCAGCGTATTGGAAGGAGAGCGGGATGCCTTGTACGAGGCGGGGACGCCACTCAAAGGAATGTTCCGGGTTCAGAGGTCAAGCAATTTGAGTTGATGTTTGCATTGTGCCGCACTAGTACGGCAGCGTGCTCGGTTTAGCTGTTCCACCGCAGGTCTTGCGCGGACGTCACATCGAAATCCTCAGCCAAGTCGGTGTGAAGCTCGACTCTTGACAAAATTGGATACATTTAAGGGAGAACGTCAGGCCCTGCGACACACCATACTTCCATTCTTGGCAGGACAGAATGGGAAAGCCCGGAGCGCCGAGTGACTCACCAAAGCCCCTGCGGGTAGCGCCGCAAAGAGGTGGCTCTGGCCGGCACCAAAGATCGTTTAAAATTGGGATAAGGACCCACAATTACCCAGATGCTTTTGCATATGCACTAAGTCACTACGCACCGACGTTGCACGAACGATATGACGGATGTTGCGCGTCCTGAGGCATGGAGCCACAGCTGCTGCCCGGAGCCCTTCGGTGAGCAGTCGAAATCCCCCCCCCCCCCCCCCCCCCCCCCCCCCCCGGGCCCCCCCCCGGGCGCCCCCCCGGGCCCCCCCCCCCCCCCTCTGTTCTGTTTAGTTTGCCCCCCCCTTGGTTCTTTAAATTGTTCCATATGAGTGCCTTGAGGTTTTGGTGTTTTCAAATCCTGCTTTGTAGGGGAGTAACGACATGCCAGCAGAAGTCTCTGGCCAGCTTGGTATTGTCCCTCAAATGGGTTTCCGCGCTGCTAAGGCATTGGTGGTGCGTGAGGATTGGACATCCGGCACGAAAAAACCCGACAATGTGCCCTCTGCGAAAAAGGCCCCCGTTGACCAACATGCTTCGAATTTGCCTTTGGACTCCTTGATGTCATAGACGCACCACTCGGATCTGCTGAGGTGGCCGATGCCTCCTTGACAGACGACACGGACACAAAACCAGCTGTCGGCGGAGATGAGACCCAACGGCAGAAGCACATGCCATGCCCTCTCTGTCTGAGACAGCCAACACACGGTCCACAGAAATGTGTTTTGCCCGTCCAGTACTCTCGCAACCTTGAGTGGAAGGGTCAGCTTTTTTGCTTGAGTGGAAGGGTCAGCTTTTTTGCCTGGCATCAGGCTTTGGTGCTTTCAGGCGTTCAGATTCTCAAAAAGATGATGCACATTCCAAATGAGCCACCTTCAGCTACATGTCGATTCAGACTACAACTTGAACTCACCATTTGATGTATATGCTTATCCTTACGCATGTTTCCGTGCGTGGCTGCATGATGCGTGTGTGCGCGGGCGTACGCGATCGTGCGCGGGCGTGCGCGGGCATGCGCGGGCGTGCGTGGGCGTGCGTGGATGCGTGCGTGGATGCGTGTGCGTGCATGCTTGTGCGTGCTGGTGCATGCCGCTGCGTGCCTCGTGCGGGTGTCTGAGGGTTGTTAATTTGGTTGATCACGAAAGCTAGCTGCTAGCTCCTTTGGAGCTTGCGGGAGCTTTTGTTTACAGAGTTTGTTTTGGGACAAACAGCACTCAAGGGCCTTAATCTCCGATGTATCGGTTAATGGGTGTCGGGGCGGTGGGGGGGGGGCTTTGGTGTCCGTCACAATGGGGGTCCCCCGCCCCCGCAAGATGGACACTTAAAGGCTATGCTGCACGTGCGTGCCTTGTAAACATATACTTTACAAAGGATGCACCCGCAGAATAGACGCAACGCACCCGCAGAATAGACGCAATGCACCCTTAGCAACAGCACACTGTGTCCTGCCTGCGCGGAGGGCGCGGAGGGCGCGGAGCACATGTGCTGTTTTTAATCGTACAACGCAAGCTCGCCTAGGATATACTTTGTTTGCTGCCCACATGTGCTGTCTTCATGCGTGCAACGCAAGCTCACTCAGGATATACTTTGTTTGATGCCCACATGTGCTGTCTTGATGCGTGCAACGCAAACTCACATAGGATAGACTTTGTTTACGTGCATAAATCGCTTCAATATTGTCCAGTTAGGTCAGGAGCTCAGTTGTGTCTCGTGTTGTTCCGTTGCGTCCTCGGTTCCAATGTGCCTCTGCTACGCGGTGCTGGCTTTTCTCGGATGGAATTAGCTTTCGTTCGCCATGCTCTCAAGGTGTTTGCTTACTTGCGTGGCTTAGGAGCATCCCGAACGATCCATAGCTTTCAGCAAGAACCCTGTTGAGACGATCGAAACAGAAACCGGGTCAGACTCAGATGCTTCTTGGCTGCAACACTGGAAACCCTTGGCAAGCTCTAGCTGCTGGCCTTCGTCATGATTTTTCGTTCTTTCCGGCCGAATCATAGCCGAGCTTAGCACTTGTCTCGGATGTAGCGAAGGAAGACTCCGAAGAGGGTAAGAAGAAAGGAGGAGGCATGAGCGCTGCTAGTAGTCGCTCCGTGGCTGCACATATCTTGGTCGTTCAGCATGGCAACTCGGAACCAGTGGCTCTTCGTCTTGTGAGGCATGATCACCCACACTGCAATTCCACACCTTCGTAAGAACGAGTTCATGAATGAGCTGCAAGCGCTTCCGTTCTGGCATCCAGGACTAAGCACTGTGTGTGACCCAAGAAGTTCGCTGGTTGATTCAGCTTGCATTCCTGCATTTCCTGCGCAACGAAGCCAGTCCTCTTCCAGACATCATACCGCAGCTTGGGTGGTGTTGCCGCCGCATGCTGAATTCATGTTGCAGGGACCCATGACATTTCCAGAAGAGGCTGCTGGCTCCTGCAGGACGGTATGTGCACACGACTCAGTTTGATGCCATCTTCTGCGGCGTTATTTTAGCAAACACGGTTGTGACACTTGGCGGCAGATTCTACGATTTTGAAGGTTGTCGTTGAGGTATTGAGGCATCCACGCTTGAACTTCTTGTCCAGTTGGTATTCAACAGGAAGTCGAAAGAAACGAACATTTGTTGCACTGTGGGCTCTCTATAGCTTGAATGGTTCGCCGTCGGCTTGAATGGCAGGGCAACCAGCCGACATGTCATGTGCATCAACCTACATCAACGGTTGTGGCTCCCCAGATGAATATGTGTCACAACGCCAAGGCTTCATCGCTGTCACAACCTTTCAACCTTCCTAAGGCAACTTTCGCCCGTCGTGCCGCAGAGTCGCGCAACACAAGAAAATTAGAAAACGCACAGAGCAGAAACAAATTCAATGCACGAGGAATAATAGTACACCACAGAATAGGCGAGTCCGTGAACAATCGTTTGTAGAAACAAAAGCTTAAACGCAATGTAAAAACGGTTCAGGCAACTAGAGAAACGATGAGCCAGCGCACAGGTTCTAAAAGACAAGAGACAGTAAGTTTCAATGCACATCGAAAACACAAAAAGACTAGCATTTTGACTTTGACGCTTTGCGTTGTCTGTGCTGCAGTGAGTGAGCATAGTTCAGCATTCGTGTGACCATGTTGGAGCAGAGACAAACTACGAGCATAAAGGAGTTTAATTGGGCGGAGCGGCGATGTGAAAACCAAACCTCCACTTTAGAGAACAATGTTGGCTGAACAGGTCTTGTAAAGGTGTCGCATCTGTTCGGATGGCTGTGGGGTGTCAGGGTCTGGGCAAAGCTGGGGGCCAACCGTTTCTGCAATAACGGGCATGCTTCCCGCCCGTAGGTCAAAGTCAATATAAAGTAACACCCTGCTTGTGATGTCGCCTGCCCATCTACCTACGCTGTTGAGGTCAATGTCCGAAGCCATTTGCGTTGAGAAGATTGGAAGGGATGAGCCTGCTTGAGTGGCGTGCAAACTCAACTCAGGATGGCGCTGCAGATGCAGTACAATGGCTTGCGTCGTGGGTACGTGTTGGGTGCTCCTCACTTCGATGTCGATGCCAGCCTCTTGGAGCAACAGTTCTGACACATTCTCGCCAGTAGTCAAGAAGAAGATATGACGGAAGACTTTTATAGCAAGTTGCGCACATTCAATCATTCAATACTCTTGAACTCTTTTCACGTCGACTGCCCGGCCGCGAAGCCGGTTAAAGGCTTGTCTTTTCAGGGACTTCGGTACAAAGGTTGGGCTTGGGAGGAGACGAGTGGTGGAGGGAGAGATATTGGGGTTGGGTTCGAGAGTTCAGAGGCATTGGGCTCAAGGCTTCCGCGGTGTTGTGCAGAGCTTGTGCGGTAGATCCTCCTGTTCTCTGCCAAGCTCTGGGAGGGTTGTGCCCTCTCAGCTTTTCAGGGGAGGTTGCATGCACTTGTCCCGCAACCCTCGACTGCAGGCGAATACTGGCCGCAAGCACCACTGGCTTTCCTGATTTTGGTGGGCTTGACTGCATCATAAGTTGTCTGCTGCAGAGTGTGAATTGGAGGAGCTTGGAGCAAGGTGCGAAAAACATTCCAGCACAGCACTCGACTAGATGCATTTTGTCTCCCCTGCAAGGCCCGCATAAAGAAGTAGCGAACAGGAAGAGCAGAAGAGAACAGAACAGCAGCGGTGGGGCGAGGATTTGTAATCTTTCTTTCCTGCTCATGGTAACGCTGCCTGTGCTGTGCTTTTGCAGGGGGAGTCTGCCCCTCGTGCAGTCTTGAACCTTCCCGAACTTGCACCCGCATCAGGGAAGGAATGAAAGGAATGTAGCGTCAAATGGACGCATGGGATCACTAAATCATTTGGCGAAAATGGCGATGCAGCCATACCGTGCGCTCAGGACTGGGTCTTTGGGATCACGTATTGCTTGGAGCTGATCATCAAGCTTGTAGGCTTCAAAAGGCGCTTTTTCTTGGCCACTCGATGGCAATGAGCCAGCTACTGGTAGACGTCGTTCGACCCATACATATTCTGCTAGCATCCTGTCTCCACCAAGGAATGGTGGAATTGGTTCGACGGAGCTATTGTCATGATGTGGCTTGTGGAAGTTGGCCTAAAATCTGTCATTACCATGGAGCCTGCAGTTCTCCGAAGCTTGGCAGCCATGAGGCCGCTGATGTCCGTTGATATTCGTTTGGGATGTAGAAAGGTTAAGATCGTTAAGCAGACTGATGGTCCAAGGCATGATGAAGATGGCACGACTCCTTCGGCTAATCCGCTTGGTAAAGACAATTCAAGGCGACTTGCGTTCAATCCCGGTTTTGCGAGGGCGGCTTGAGCAGGAGATGTGACCCAGAGGTCGTTGAGTTTCGTTGTCGGTGCCACGACAGGCTTTGATGCATTGTACATCATGACGACGGCTATGCAGGGCAGTGCCACATGCTTGTTTTGGTCCTTCATGCCTCTCGGACGGTATAGCCAGGCATGAACCATGCTCTCGGACCGGAGTGTAGTTCTGCAGTTCGTCGCCAGACGGCGTTGGTGTTGGTAGACCAGGTTGCTCACCACGGTGCAGATGATGATTGCATTCTTCCTGAACGAGTCCCTGGAGATATACTTCTTGGATGAGACCAAACCCGCAGCTCTGCACTCGATTGCATACTCACAAGGAATCTTCGCTTCGAGGTTGCATGCGACAACTACAAATGTCTCTTGCTGCTGGTCGCAAAAGCCGGCAAAAAATCTGAGGCATCAGAAAAGTTGGAGGTTTTCGAGTACTTTGGCACTACCGCAAGAGTCATGCTCACCATGTTCGAACTCACTTTGGCGTTGCTCGATTGAAATTTTCAAGAGGAGCGGAGAAGCTGCAATCTTGTAAGGCTACTATAAGGCTATAAGGCAAGGATCTGCAACAGGCACCCCAGTAGACACCGAGGAATTGGCCGACAGCTGCTCGTATCTTGCAGGAGAACGTCACAGCGGCTTCGAAGCAACAAAGAGCCGCGGCACTTGAGAATCTGAACCCAAAATCGCCGCGATGGCCGCCTCCCAGGAATTCTACTCACTCTTCTCTGTGTCCTACAAGTTGATCGTTGGCTTTGCCGCGGTCGGAATTATCAACGGTGTCTTCATGCGGCTGGGCAATAGAACTGCCATTTGAAATCCGAGCAAATTTGGCCCACAGCTTCCGGACAATCGCGGCTTCAGCAGGATTCACTTCTCTCAGAACTTGCACTTGCACGTTTTGTTGGCGCATACTCGCTTTCGCACGTGGCACACGAATGTGTTATGATGAGTGGCATCCAAGGCAAGAAACTTTCAAAGTGGCAGCGTCCGATGACAAACTCATGATGCGGCAGAAGGAGAGTACCTGTGTGCTAACTCTCGTCGGTACTCGTAAGAACAGAAAGACGAGGGGCCTGAGTGTTTGCTTGGAGTTTGACATGGTGTTCTCGGCTCAATTCTTGAATTTGCTTAACAACCCACCGCACCTCAGCCCAGCCTCCAGAGCGTGCATCGCTTAGAAAGTGGGACTCTACTTGCGACTCCGACGGACGGTGGTGATGTAATGGAGTAGAAAGCGATGATTTCAAGTGAGGATGTTTGTCATTTTTCAGTCCCGCGCTTTTTTTTCCCGCACTTTTGGGTGCCAGCGCTCGGCCGAGCCCCCTCGTGTTCTTCAACCCAGTGCTGTCGCATGCAGTCACTGTGGAGAGCCACTGCTTCTGGGAATGACTGGGCCTGTGCGTTGAAGACCTGTTCAGCGTGCCTCCACCGTGCTTGACCAGCCTTCATGAGCACGATGCGCGACGCGCGAGTCGGTGGTAAAGCGCTCGGGGGCTCCGACAAAAGGAATTTGGGTAGTGAATCAGTGAAGGGCTGAGTTGTGGAAGCCTTCCTGTGGATGTGCTTGGGATGTGCTTGAGATGTGCTTGGACGTGCTGCCCGTTGTTCGAGGGGATGTTGCCGTTCTGAGTGCTGCAGTCCTGCGGGCCTAGAAACGGTCAGGCACTGGGTTCTTTTGGGCTGCTTCGATCTTGTTCCCCACCCCAACCCTCCCGAGAGATGAGTCCCGGATAGTCCCGGCATTCTCTGAACCCATAAACAGACAGGCAGCGCCTGCTTCCAGAGCACCGTCGGACAAAAGCAAGGGGGGGTGGAGGGATCGTGGTCGGCGGTACATGAAGTTCATCGACTAAAGCTTTCATGTTGCCATCCGGCACGGCTGTGCATGTGGCCAGCGAAAGGCCTCCCAGCCAATTCGAGCGGCATCCGAGTGCAAGAACATTCAAGATGCAAGAATGAAACGATGTTGACCCAATGGAGCTGTCTCTTTTGTGGAGGAGCGAGATCGGTCGCTGCACACGAAGAAGATGAGGACACTTTTCGCGGCAGCTGATGAATCGGGAGATGGCTTTATCGTCTCCTGGCCTGAGTTGCAACATGCTCAACTTGGGTGGAGTGTCGCCACCACTGCAAGCCACAACATACCCACCTCCTTCGAGACGTGCTCTTTCCATCCACGCCCAGGATCGGCAAGAATTCTGCGAAATCATGAACATACCAGAAGTGAGGACAGCGGTCAACGTCCAGAGTGCAGAGGCTGCATGTATGTCTCCCATACAGCACCACAGGTGTGTTGCAGGTGCAGCGTCCCATAGGCCCCCTTAACCCTTAGAGTGGATTCCACATTGGGCACAATTCGCGGCTCATATGCACGTGCTTCGTGTCTAGCAAAATTCTTTTTTATCCTCTTAATCTAACGTCTAAAAGCGTGCCCGCCCCCCCGCAGGACCTGGCTGGCGGCCCAGGAACTTCCCGTTCGTGCAACTTGGTGTGCGCTAAGGGTCCAAGAGTCCGGGGATTCCGGGCTTCGTAACTTAGACCCCGCCACATGAAGCCCAGACAACGTGCGGAGTCCCGAAAATATCTGAGCTGTTGCCGGAGGGGGCTCACAGCTTCGGGTGTGAGGGGGACTCTGCCAGGGCAAGTTTTTGGGGCGGGGGGTTCGCGCTCCTGTTGTAGCAGGGAAATCCTGGATAATCCGGGATCTAGTCAATCACACTAGTCACTGGCCATTGTCATTTCATAGAACTCGAAAGGTTCCCGGTTTGTTCCCCTTCATCTCAGGACCCGAATGTATTGTTCAGTCTGCTTGATGATGGGGATGCCGAGCTTACCGCCGTTCGCTGCCTCAGCTGACTTGCTTGGGCTGGAGCCACGCCTTTTGATCCGTGCAGAACGTCAGCCCTTTTTCGCGCGCCGAGGAAGAGCTAGTCAAAGGCGTCGAACGCCTAAAAGGAACTGCCAAAGGCATTGACCTGGCTGCTTTCATAGCTGAATATCGTGACTTCGATGCAAGTAGAGCCAACTGCATGTGACACTCACACCCGAAACTCCTCTTTTTATCACCGCACTGTCAGGCAGCTTCGCTACGAAAGTCGCCGAAAAGATGGATATCACGCTGGACTTCCCATTGCCGAAGACGGATGATGATGACGATGACGACGATGAGGGGGAGGAGGAGGAAGAGAAGAAGGAAGAAAAGAAGGCAGAGTGAAGACTGAGTGAGCACTCTGAGTGCGCTTGTACTTGTCCAAGATTTGCGAACGACGTGTCAATGCGGACATGGGCGGGCAGTCTGCTATTTTGCCATGGCTTGTTGACAGTGTTGACGGAGACACCTGCAGACCGTTTGCCTAGATTCGCGACGCACAACTCAAAAAGCTGAGCCAGTTATGTATATGTTTTAGCAAAGCAGCGAAGTGAAGATTACTGTGGAGTAAGTAGAATGCAAGTAACCGGAGTGAGTTGGCAACCACTTCTGACAAAATGCGGCCGCGTCAGCATCACGGCAATCTCAGGCCATTCAGCCTTTGTTTTGGCTGATGCTCCTGGCAGTTCTTCAGGCTCCTAAGGAGCACTCATGTGGGGCTCTCTCGTTCGGGCTTGTGCTGGTTGAGAACTACAACGTTTATCCGTGTAGATTTACTTTCGGGTTCGCACCTTTGAAGGGCCATGCAAGCCCCATTATGACTGAGGGCCATTGATTTTCCCTCATCTCTCGGCAGTCACGGTCAGGTATAGGCACAGCCCAAGTGCACGGGCAGTGTGAGGTATGCACTGCCGACAGCCAGCATCGTAGGTTTTATCGTTGGATCAATAGATCCTTTGGAAACATCTGCGACTGCAAGCGAGCAATTCTTCTTCAACCCAATCTTCCAGTGCTGTCTAGAATAGCTTACAAAGCTGCACAGCAGACAGCATGGACAGACCAGTGCCCGTGCGCAGAACAGCACTAATATACTGCTAAATGTTCGGCTATGTGTTGCATGTGTTTTCTGGCATTTTTGCTCTCAACTGTTATGGCTTTTGCATGGCGCTGGGTCGTTTCAGAACGGTTCAAAGAAGGCCTGGCTCTGATTGGAGATCCAACCCGTGAGCCATGCTTTTCGCTGAATATTTGTGAGAACTGCCATGTTCAGCTTGTGGTGACCTTACCGCAGGCTTGACACTTGCTTCTTTGCATCCGGAAGCCATTCTGCCAATGTTTAGAGGTGCCTGGAAGCTTTGCATTTGCATGGTGTCGTTTCACTTTCGGGAAGCCAGGAGAGCCCCTCGCATGCAGCCGGGGAAACGATTAAGACCTTAGTGTTTTTGAGGGACATGCGGGAGGGTTGTCAATAAATGAAGACGCGCCAAGAAAAACACAACTGCTTAATGGATAAGGACGCTGTAATAAATGCAGCGATTTGAAAATAAACTAAAGCACAAGGAGTACGAAAAGCAAGTAAGCACCAATAAACTAATTACATTGCACAATACACCATACCCCCAATTAATAAAAACAATTGCGCCGCACATACAATCATAGGTTAACGGCTACACTATATATCAAATAGCATATCTATAAACAGAATATTGCGCAACAGACTTAGGCACGGATCGTTTATGTACAACACAACCATAAGAATGCAGTCATATATATTATAAACAAAACAACCATACAAACACCGAATACATATACATATATATATATCAGCTGAACAAGCGACCACACAATAATAAGCGAGATATTTGAATATATCTTCTTAAAGGTTACGGCTACGCTGCCTTCGGGGCTTTATGGGGATTCCCCAGCAATCGATCTTGATATCTATAGGTATAGATGTGGACAGGCAGAATACATGGATGGGGATATACATAACTATGTTGTAGGTCTCTTCAATTGAAGCGTAATATGAGGAAAGTTGTTTCGGAGCCTCACATTAAATTCAATACTTGAAGGACAAAAAGGTGTGAAGATTAGATGCACAATATAGAAACATCTACGATTCAAATATTTATGGAGCTTCTTCTGGCGCGTATCACTGCAGGCTTTTGTGTTTCTTTACGGCTGGGCCCATAATGTTTGACAGAGTTTTTGTAGCCCCAAGCTCGACTTGAACACTTTCACGTTTTTTCTCAGATCAATGGGAAATATGAGTTTTATCTACTCGTGTCTGTCTAATTTTCCGTATCTCTATATCTTTCTATCATTGTTGCTCTCTATATCTCTCTATCCTCACTATGTCCTTAATCCGTCTTTGATTCTATCTTTGTCCTCTATCTCTGTTTTTCTGAGTATTGGGTTCATATGATTGGTTTCTTATGATCGAATATCGGTAAAATTATTGTGAACGAAAATCATATGAAACTTAAAATGTCGATATAACAAATACAGGCCCATCAAAAGCATACTAAACGAAGATATATCAAGCCACCATATAATCAGCGAAGAGATATTCAAGAATGAAAAAGTTTACTGAAGAGACACAAGTATATGAAGTTACTTTTTCCATTTCGAGGTGAATACACGAGTATATAAACAGAATCTTATAAAGAACGAAGACGAGTTCATCTATATAAAAATAGAGATGCAATAAGCGAAGACGCACCCAACATCAAAAAACATAGAATAAATCAAGATCTTCCAATATGAAGAGGCGCCAAAATCAGAACAAACGAAGACGTACTAATAAGCAAACAACCTGGTAACCACATAGTAAACGAAGGCGCACCAAGAAGCAAAATAGACCAAAGAAGACACGTCGGTAAGTAAGATAATTGCACAGAGAACTAAAAAAACAAAATAATGGTAACAATGTAACAGATATGCCCCAATAACCAAAATATCATTATAACAATTTTGATTGATCTAAGTGGTCTGTTTATCTCGCATCGCTCGGTTTGATAACCTATCGATCGGCGTCCGTATTGGGGAACATATTCCCCGGAATGCATTTCTTGATGAGGCGACATGATCTATACAGCTTCCATAAATACTGATCATATTTATACCCCGAGTGATGTGTGATTCCACAGCTGATATGAACTGCTGCTACGAAACGTCCCCAATGGCGTGACATGAATTCCCATGACCTGATGCGAGACGTTACTTCGTCGTACGTAAGGTCATATCGTAAATGCCCATATATATATATATATGGTACCCCCCCCCCAAAGATCTAGGTATTTTCGTGGTTTTGGGATCTGTTTTAGGGTTTTAGGGTTGGGGGTGGGGGGCTAAACCTAACAAGTAAATCTCAATATGGACATGTAAATCTTGATATGTGCGAGTCTTCATATGTGCGTGGTCGTATTTTCAAATTGTGAGCTCGATTGAAAAAATCGGGGGCCCGATTGAAAAACGATTGAAACGATTGAAATTCAATCGGAGACCGGATTGAAGATTGAAGATTGGAGATTCCCGGAAAGCCTTTTTTGGGGAATCTTCAATCTTCAATCTTCAATCCGGCCCCCGATTGAATTTCAATCGTTTCAATCGTTTTTCAATCGGGCCCGATTGAATCGTTTTTCAATCGGGTTCACGTCTTGTAAAGTCTCAGTTTTAGCTTTCGTGACGTCGCTATAAAGTCCCAGAAGAAAATTGCGTGACGTCGCTCAAGGTCATGTGTCACAAGCCCATAGATTTCGGGATCGTGGGCTAAACCTTTAAGATTCAATCGCGGGCCCGATTGAAAAACGATTGAAACGATTGAAATTCAATCGGAGACCGGATTGAAGATTGAAGATTCCCGGAAAGCTTTTTTCTGGGAATCTTCAATCTTCAATCTTCAATCCGGCCCCCGATTGAACTTCAATCGTTCAATCGTTTTTCAATCGGGCCCCCGATTGAATTTCAATCGTTTCAATCGTTTTTCAATCGGGTTCACGTCTTGTAAAGTCTCAGTTTTAGCTTTCGTGACGTCGCTATAAAGTCTCAGAAGTAAATTTCGTGACGTCGCTCAAGGTCATGTGTCACAAGCCCATAGATTTCGGGATCGTGGGCTAAACCTTTAAGCCCTGTAGGCTATACGGTTAAGGTTTAAAGGTTTAGGGTTGAAATGTTCAACAGTAAGCCCATAGAGTTTAAACCTTAAGGGTCCTAAACGCTTAACCTTTGAACCTTAACCCTATAGCCTATAGGGCTTACAGGTTAAGTGTTTAGGCACGGTTAAGGTTTAGAGGTTTAGGGTTGAAAAGTTCAACAGTAAGCCCATAGAGTTTAAACCTTAAGGGTCCTAAACGCTCAACCTTTAAACCCTATAGGCCATAGGGTTAAGGTTGAAAGGCTTAGGGTTTAAGATTTGGCATTAAAACACAAGCCCATAGGTAGCAGATATATATATATATATATATATACATAAACATCTACATTTTTTTGCGGCGCATTCTACATATTCTATGTATCCTTTATTCTTTATCTGTCCGTTTATATACCCTAAGTTCTCATTAAAGAGTCGGGCCGTTGGGAATGTTTACATAAATTAATGAGCAAATTAGTGTATATATGTAAATAAATAAATAAATATATATATATATATATATATATATGCAAATATGTATATGTATTTGTATATGTATTTGTATATGTATTTGTATATACATATACATATAATACTTGATTTCCGGATGAAAATCTATCCTTATTCGTTCGCAAGATAGAAAGAATAGATTCATGATGAGATACTTTCGCAAATCGGACCTCTTTTTTTTCATCGATCGGTTTCGACGGGGAGTGCCGAAGCCCTGCGCCAACAGCCCATCCAGGTCCAGATGGGCCCTGACGCTTTAAAGGCCTTAGATACTCCGATGCAGTCATTTGCCAAGATGCTCCTTGTCGCCCTCGCCCTCGTGTCCCGTCAGGTGCTGGGGAGCCACCAACATACCCTCTATGAGGCTGAGAGGCTACTGAATGGAAAGTACACACAAGGCTTCAAAGCCAATGGCATGGAGGGGTCCTTCTTGGCATGGGGTATCTGCTCGACTAGAGTCAAAGGGGCCATAGCCTGATTTTGACACCACTTCGGCATTCAGCGGCCACAGCTTTGGCCACCTTGTGCACTTTATTTGCATCAGGTCGGTTGGAAGACGCGAACATTGGTGAGCTTTTGCGTGTTTCCCCCGGCTCTGTGGCAAACATGTTGTGCATGTTGACTTCTTGGACCAGTTGGACAGGTTGTAGCTGCTGTCTCACGGCTGTTGTTTCTTGGTCGATTTAGGTCCAGGAACGAGTAGTTGGAGGCCGGTAGCCCTGTAGTTTGAAAGCCCTTACTGGCCGTCGGCAGCTATGAGCAGCATCGAGACCAGCTTCATGGAGCCAGTGAAAGTGATCTCGCCGTTCGTGCCACAAACTTCAATCAGCACATGTGATGCTGAAGGCCCAGTGGAGCGTGCGATTTCAAGTTCCACAGCTTGCAGCAGTGAGGATGATTCCTGCGTGAAGCGGCAACGGCTTTGGGCTCGCGCTATGGACTCTCGCTGGAAGCTGTCCCGGAAGGATCTTCAGATGAAGCGGGAGCTCAGTCGAACCCTGAAAAGCACACTGTACCAGGCAAGCTGGCAGGGTGTGGATGTGGTGGTGAAATGTGCTGGGTTGCATGACGACGTCATGTCACAACAGGTGCAGTCGAGCGCTTAGTTGCTTAGTGATGTGGGGGTGCTGGTGCCTTTGTGTGCCTCTTTGTCTTGACCAACTGTGTGGCTGCAGAGGTCGAACCACGATCCACAGACCTCCCTCGCACGATTCCCGAGCGACGCGGAGGACAAGGAAATTACAGACGAGCTCTTGCACGAGACTACTCAATCATTAGCCTGCCTTTGATCTTGCTTGTAGCTTCGCTAAACGAAAAACGCGTTGATGTGCACGAATCTATACGGCTCATCCGAGGAAATCGACCTTCTGTCGTCTCTGCGGCATCCGGACCTTGTCATGTTTCTCGGGGCTTGTCTAGATCAGCAGCTGCCAACTATGAGCCTTCAGCTGATTTCATCACACTTGTCGTCTTCTTGTCGCCACATGGGCCGCAAAACGCAGCGTGGCCAGGAAGTGTGACCATGTGGTTTTTCCAGGTGCGTCACGGAGTTCTTGCCGGGTGGTGACCTGGAGCGCTACTTCATGGCCCAGCGGAAGAAGCATGATGTGGCCATCTGGCGGCCTGGCTTCCAGCAGGTGCCTGCCTCTCAAAGAATCTATTGGGCGTTTTTTTTTTTTTGCGGGTTTTGAGTGCAGGTGCTGCAGTGGAGCTTCAGCGTGGGGCGGGCCCTGAACTTCTTGCACGACCGCGGAGTTGTGCACCGAGACCTGAAGCCGTTGAACCTGCTGCTGACAAAGCACCTGGAAGTCAAGGTTTCTGACTTCGGCATCAGCAAGCTGATGAGCCGAGAAGGAGACGGATCCGAAGTTTATTCCATGACCGGCGGAGTTGGTAGTTGGCGATACATGGCACCGGAGGTGGTGCGGCACCAGGCGTATGATGAGAAGGTGCAACAAATTGCAACAACATGTCGCAACATTCACGTTCACAAATCTGTGTTCAGGGCGCATGCGTCCTGTGATTCCACGCAACACTCCTTGGTCTCGGCAGGTGGACATCTATGCCTTTGGCCTTATCATGTACTTCATGAGTTCCGGAAGGGCTCCCTTCCATCAGCTGGGTCTTGATCCGGAGGTCATCTTGCAGCAGTACTGTCAAGGCAAAGAGCCACGACCGATGGCGCTGGACTGCCACACCAAGCTGCGCCCCTTGATGACCGCTGCATGGCACGTGAACCCTAGTGAGCGGCCCACTGCCACAGACATGTTGGAGAGCTTAGATCTTATTGCGCACAGCAAATCGTCCTGCGCACCATGCGCCCAGATGTAGCGCCCGCATGCTTTGCTGACCTTTGCTGCAGCATGCTTCGCTACATGTTTTGCGCGGCTTGCTCCGCTTTCCCAAATTTCCAGCAGCGTTCCGGGTGGAGATGCAGCGTTGTCAGCGTTGACGCTGTCCCTGCTCCAGCCAACTGCTCGCACAGCACGGGCCACTGCAAAATGCATGAGCCTCAAGATTTGAAGTTTTGAAAGTACCAGATTCAATATGCATGACCTGTATAGCCTGTAAAGCACAAACTGTCTGTTTTTCAGAAGTGTCCCGGTGTTCTTTAGTAGAGCACACAGGGCACAGCGCGGGGTTCACGTGCACTTCGACCTCGTCCCTGCGGCGAACAGCGAGATGTCCACTGGGCCTTTGCGTTCCTGCGACCCGCGACCGTGCCCTCAAGCATCCAACAGCATCTGACACCGCACTTTGAAGACCGATCGGGAACATCCGACAAGCTGACGCATCTCCTTGCAAAACGCTGCTTGGGTGTCGGTCGTTGGTCCACTTCCCAAAACTAATTAAGAGTTTTTTCCCACTGCTTCATCCAGTGCCGTTGTGAAGAAGCTGCACGGAGGCAGTGAAGCATCCAAAGTTGCAACAAAGGGCTTCTCGAAGGACATTCGAAAGTCAAGCATGGGAGCCATGTGTGCCGCCCAGTCAGAAAGTCAACTGCTTCTGGTCCGATGCTGCCCGCCACGACAGAGCCCAGCACGCGCCAGCCGTGACAAACTGTGACTGCTGTCTCGCGGCTGTTGTTTCTTGGTCGCTTTAGGTCCAGGAACGAGTAGTTGGAGGCCGGTAGCCCTGTAGTTTGAAAGCCCTTACTGGCCGTCGGCAGCTATGAGCAGCATCGAGACCAGCTTCATGGAGCCAGTGAAAGTGATCTCGCCGTTCGTGCCACAAACTTCAATCAGCACATGTGATGCTGAAGGCCCAGTGGAGCGTGCGATTTCAAGTTCCACGACTTGCAGCAGTGAGGATGATTCCTGCGTGAAGCGGCAACGGCTTTGGGCTCGCGCCATGGACTCTCGCTGGAAGCTGTCCCGGAAGGATCTTCAGATGAAGCGGGAGCTCAGTCGAACCCTGAAAAGCACACTGTACCAGGCAAGCTGGCAGGGTGTGGATGTGGTGGTGAAATGTGCTGGGTTGCATGACGACGTCATGTCACAACAGGTGCAGTCGAGCGCTTAGTTGCTTAGTTATGTGGGGGTGCTGGTGCCTCTATGTGCCTCTTTGTCTTGGCCAACTGTGTGGCTGCAGAGGTCGAATCACGATCCACAGACCTCCCTCGCACGATTCCCGAGCGACGCGGAGGACAAGGAAATTACAGACGAGCTCTTGCACGAGACTACTCAATCATTAGCCTGCCTTTGATCTTGCTTGTAGCTTCGCTAAACGAAAAACGCGTTGATGTGCACGAATCTATACGGCTCATCCGAGGAAATCGACCTTCTGTCGTCTCTGCGGCATCCGGACCTTGTCATGTTTCTCGGGGCTTGTCTAGATCAGCAGCTGCCAACTATGAGCCTTCAGCTGATTTCATCACACTTGTCGTCTTCTTGTCGCCACATGGGCCGCAAAACGCAGCGTGGCCAGGAAGTGTGACCATGTGGTTTTTCCAGGTGCGTCACGGAGTTCTTGCCGGGTGGTGACCTGGAGCGCTACTTCATGGCCCAGCGGAAGAAGCATGATGTGGCCATCTGGCGGCCTGGCTTCCAGCAGGTGCCTGCCTCTCAAAGAATCTATTGGGCGTTTTTTTTTTTTTGCGGGTTTTGAGTGCAGGTGCTGCAGTGGAGCTTCAGCGTGGGGCGGGCCCTGAACTTCTTGCACGACCGCGGAGTTGTGCACCGAGACCTGAAGCCGTTGAACCTGCTGCTGACAAAGCACCTGGAAGTCAAGGTTTCTGACTTCGGCATCAGCAAGCTGATGAGCCGAGAAGGAGACGGATCCGAAGTTTATTCCATGACCGGCGGAGTTGGTAGTTGGCGATACATGGCACCGGAGGTGGTGCGGCACCAGGCGTATGATGAGAAGGTGCAACAAATTGCAACAACATGTCGCAACATTCACGTTCACAAATCTGTGTTCAGGGCGCATGCGTCCTGTGATTCCACGCAACACTCCTTGGTCTCGGCAGGTGGACATCTATGCCTTTGGCCTTATCATGTACTTCATGAGTTCCGGAAGGGCTCCCTTCCATCAGCTGGGTCTTGATCCGGAGGTCATCTTGCAGCAGTACTGTCAAGGCAAAGAGCCACGACCGATGGCGCTGGACTGCCACACCAAGCTGCGCCCCTTGATGACCGCTGCATGGCACGTGAACCCTAGTGAGCGGCCCACTGCCACAGACATGTTGGAGAGCTTAGATCTTATTGCGCACAGCAAATCGTCCTGCGCACCATGCGCCCAGATGTAGCGCCCGCATGCTTTGCTGACCTTTGCTGCAGCATGCTTCGCTACATGTTTTGTGCGGCTTGCTCCGCTTTCCCAAATTTCCAGCAGCGTTCCGGGTGGAGATGCAGCGTTGTCAGCGTTGACGCTGTCCCTGCTCCAGCCAACTGCTCGCACAGCACGGGCCACTGCAAAATGCATGAGCCTCAAGATTTGAAGTTTTGAAAGTACCAGATTCAATATGCATGACCTGTATAGCCTGTAAAGCACAAACTGTCTGTTTTTCAGAAGTGTCCCGGTGTTCTTTAGTAGAGCACACAGGGCACAGTGCGGGCTCGTCCCTGCGGCGAACAGCGAGATGTCCACTGGGCCTTTGCGTTCCTGCGACCCGCGACCATGCCCTCAAGCATCCAACAGCATCTGACACCGCACTTTGAAGACCGATCGGGAACATCCGACAAGCTGACGCATCTCCTTGCAAAACGCTGCTTGGGTGTCGGTCGTTGGTCCACTTCCCAAAACTAATTAAGAGTTTTTTTCCCACTGCTTCATCCAGTGCCGTTGTGAAGAAGCTGCACGGAGGCAGTGAAGCATCCAAAGTTGCAACAAAGGGCTTCTCGAAGGACATTCGAAAGTCAAGCATGGGAGCCATGTGTGCCGCCCAGTCAGAAAGTCAACTGCTTCTGGTCAGATGCTGCCCGCCACGACAGAGCCCAGCAATGGGAGTTTCCCAAAGCTTGGGGCCTTTGTTGGGTACCCAAAATTAGTGCGGAACCAACGGCTGGGGGACCCCCAATTTTGGACATCCACACATGCCAAGCACGCGCATGAGCATTCATGTCAGTTCGCAGCTCGCCAAGGACATCAACCCAAGGACTGCGAGACACTAACACTGCCATGTCCTCAGATGGAAGTGTGCGCATCTTGCAGTCTGGAGTATGCGAGGAAGTTATGACACAAGTGCCTGTCCTTGCGCGTGCAGAGACAAGAAGATTCATGACAAAACATGCGGATCCTGACACTGGGCTGTGTAGAAGGGTGGCGTGATGCCTGGTCCTCAAAAGAACATGGTGTCACCAAGACTGGGGCTGCCATCAGGCAGCTCATCGGCCCAGTGCTAAGCCCCTGTGGGCCAGATGTGGTGGCATACTTGGGGGCGCTCTGACTTAAAAAGCCTACCTACTATCCCGTATAACACCTCTTATAAGGCTCACTACTAAGTAGACTCGCTAAGTCAAGCTAGCGTCCAAATAGTAGCGTATCGAATACGTCGTAGTCGTAGCAGTGGTCGTAGTCGTAGTCGTAGTCGTCGTAGTCGTCGTAGTCGTCGTAGCAGTAGCAGTAGCAGTAGCAGTAGCAGTAGCAGTAGCAGTAGCAGTAGCAGTAGCAGTAGTCGTCGTCGTCGTCGTAGTAGTAGTAGTAGTAGTAGTAGTAGTAGTAGTAGTAGTAGTAGTAGTAGTAGTAGTAGTTGTTGTTGTTGTTGTTGTTGTTGTTGTTGTTGTTGTTGTTGTTGTTGTTGTTGTTGTTGTTGTTGTTGTAGTTGCAGTTGCAGTTGCAGTTGCAGTTGCTGTTGTTGCTGTTGTTGCTGTTGTTGCTGTTGTTGTTGTTGTTGTTGTTGTTGTTGTTGTTGTTGTTGTTGTTGTTGTTGTTGTTGTTGTTGTTGTTGTTGTTGTTGTTGTTGTTGTTGTTGTTGTTGTTGTTGTTGTTGTTGTATGGTTGTTGTTGTACGGTTGTTGTTGTTGTTGTTGTTGTTGTTGTTGTTGTTGTTGTTGTTGTTGTTGTTGTTGTTGTTGTTGTTGTTGTTGTTGTTGTTGTTGTTGTTGTTGTTGTTGTTGTTGTATGCTTGTTGTTGTTGTATGCTTGTTGTTGTTGTATGCTTGTTGTTGTTGTATGCTTGTTGTTGTTGTATGCTTGTTGTTGTTGTATGCTTGTTGTTGTTGTATGCTTGTTGTTGTTGTATGCTTGTTGTTGTTGTATGCTTGTTGTTGTTGTTGTTGTATGCTTGTTGTTGTTGTATGCTTGTTGTTGTGTTGTTGTATGCTTGTTGTTGTTGTATGCTTGTTGTTGTTGTTGTTGTTGTTGTTGTTGTTGTTGTTGTTGTTGTTGTTGTTGTTGTTGTTGTTGTTGTTGTTGTTGTTGTTGTTGTTGTTGCTGTTGCTGTTGTTGTTGTTGTTGTTGTTGTTGTTGTTGTTGTTGTTGTTGTTGTTGTTGTTGTTGTTGTTGTTGAAGCACTACCAGCTCAAGCCGCCCGCGCATGGTAGCTGTCGAACCGGCCAAGGCCCCGAACTTCATCTCTTTAACAGTTCTCGGGGCCCTCTAACATCTCAAGGCTTTCTAGCTCTTGCCAGCTGATGGTCACTTGGAGGCTTTAGCCTCTTGCAATTGAGATTCTGCCGCAGACAGCATATCCACGAGCTGGCCCGGTCCCAATTCCGGGGGGAGAACTTAGATCGTCTTAGACTGCATCTTTCGCTCCTAAGTGTGAGGGTTCTCGTCTTTCCGCAGGACGAGGGGAGTCTGATCGTGCTTCGGCACTTCAGGCAAAACAAGCGGATGGCAGAGGGAAGAATTCGTAAACATTCCTATCGTCGGGCCTGTCACCGAGCCTTAAGGGACGGTTGCGCAGTACCATATCGCGAGATCAATTTGCCTCTAAGCCAGGCACGGGCAAGTGCAGGCATAACTGCACCCAGTGTGATCCATGAGCCACAAGAAAAAATGCATGTTCCGTTTTCACCGCAGCTCCCAATTAGGAATCCGCGACGGCGTCACCCCAGAGGAGGTTGCGAAGCCAAACCACTGAGAGTTTTCTCGTGGAACGCAGGTGGCCTAAGCCAACAATTGTGGGCGGAGTTCAAAGAGTGGCTGCAGCAACAACAGGACCTAGATGTTGTCTTTATTCAGGAAACCCACTGGACCACCTCCTCCCAATTTAAAGTGCATGGCTGGACAGCTGTTTCAGGCGGCCTGCCGGATGAAGAGCTCGTGAGGTCCCCTCCCGCTCAAACACCCCAGTTGCCCGAACAGCCTAAGCACCGGCGCTCAGCGGGTGTTCTCACTCTACTATCGCCTAGCATAGACTCTGCAACACTGCGCTGGCAGGATCTACACCCAGGCCGTGCCCCCCTAGTTCACTGCGAAGTCCGAGGTCACCCAGTGCTCCTGCTCAACTGCTATCAGTACACTAAGCAGCGGGGCATGACGGAGCAAGACCACTATGCCACCCAGAGCAAAGTTCTCTCCTCTCTAGGCAAGTCCCTTTCCAACCTATCACAGCGCACTGTTCCGGTACTGGCGGGCGACTTCAACTCGTCCCTAAAACCTAATCCCCCCTATGTAGGGGGAGTGGTGCCGGCAGGGTCTTCTAAGCACAAACCGGTTCAGAAGCAGTTCCAGAAGTTTCTTCAGCGAAACTCTCTAGTTGCGCTTAACACATGGCAGGGGCGCAAGGCAAACACCTTCACCTCGCCACAGGGCAACTCTCAGATAGATTTCATCTTGACCTCCAAATTCTATGCTGCTCAGCTAGCCCGCAAAGTGTGTGTCCTCAAGGACTTTAAGCTGGGAGCATGGCGTAAAGGCGGCAAACACACGCCACTCCGGACGGCAGTACCCCTCAAGAAGGTCTGGAGACACCCGTTCTCGACAAAAACTCAGCCAGTAGTCCCTTCTAAACAAAAGTCCCTACTGGCTCAACATGTTAGACAAAACACTCCTCTGGCTCAAACCCTGCGAGACCAAGTTGCACAGGACGTCGACAAACTCCGAGCGCAGAAGAATGGAGAGCCTCTTCACCCTGATGAGGTCAACGAGCTTCTTCTCGAACATGCCAAGACCTTCCAGCCGAGGGACCCAGAAGTAGGCACCTCAGACGCAGCTCCGACAGCACAACCTCTGTGGCGGCTTCATAACAATCGGCAGACTGCACTACGGAACCTAAGACGTGAGGATGACGTCATAAATAAGATGTCTCGCACCGAGCACCTCAAACAGGCTCAGCGCTCACTAGACGAGGCAGCCAAGGCACATGCCCTCCAGATAAAAAATCAGGCCCGAGAAAGTACTCATCGCACTCTGACAGAGATTTCTGAGAAGGTCAAACGAGATCCACATGCGGCATATCGCTCTTTAAAGCATGTAGCTCCCTGGTCTCCTGCACCTAGAGTCTGCCTCAGATCGCCATGCGGCCGCATCCTAACTGAGTCCGAGGGGCTAGCAGAGCTAAAGAGACATAGTCTTTCAATCTTCTCCTCGCATCCCCCCCTAGCCAGTGGCGTAGGCCAAGCCTTGCCCAAGCTGGACAAAAGCAGTCTGACAAAAGGCATAGCCTCTATAAAGCCGGAAAAGGCAGTACCGCAAGGATCTGCCCCAGCATCCATGTACCGCCTTTGTGCTTCCACAGTGGCCAATAATTACTGCGACTATCTTGAAGCGGTGCCTCCGCCTCCCGCTCTGACCCATCCGGCGTGCGAGGTCACCTCCTGCCAAAAAAAGAGCGAGCCTCAGCATAACACAGCACCACTGAATCCAGCCGAGCCACCCTCGCTGCCTACTACGGCCAAATCAGCAGACCTTAGCTTCATACCCAAGCCCTCTAAACCTGCCTCTAAGCCGGAGAACTTGCGACCGCTAGGCATCATTAGGCCAGATGGCAAAGGCATAGCCTCTGAGGCTAGGAGAAGGCTCGACCCCCTCTTTAAGAAGGCCCACTTTGCCTCCCCTCAATTTGCCTACATTCCAGGACGCGGTATCGCCGACGCCCAACTCCGGGTAATTGGCCACGCAAGGCGCGTCCGAGCCATGCTTCGATCCCGAGCACCAGACAGGTTCTGCACTCCCAAGCGCAAGAAGGGCAAGCCAGATTTAATTGGGGGCTTTACCTTCTCACTAGACCTCTCTCAAGCTTTTGACAAAACAAGCAGAGAGGCTCTCTTGCGCTCACTAATTACTTACGGGGCCTCACCCGAAGACGTTGAGCTGGTTGCATCCCTTCATAGGGAAGCCCAGTATAACTTGCGCTATGGA